ATCCATTATTGCACCATGGAATATTGTCCTTTAGTGTAATTTGTGTAGTGCATTGATAATCTGCTTCTAGTGGGTATATTGGCTATCTGCCATGCAGCCACTAAAGACACTTCCAGGATTTTACCAGACTTCAGGTCACTTAAAGGGACACTCCAGGCACCCAGACCACTTCTGCCCATTGGAGTGGTCTAGGTGCCAACTCCCACTAACACTTAACCCTGCAAGTGTAATTATTGCAGTTTTTTATAAAAGACAGCCACTAGAGGGCACTTCCGTGTCCTGGGCACAGGAAACCTGTGCTAGAGCGTCGCTGGACATCCTCATGCTGTGTGAGGACCTCCAGCGTCGCTAATTTCCCCATAGAAAAACATTGAAAAGCATTTTCAATGCTTTCCCATGGGGAGCTCTAATGCGCATGCGCGGCATTGTCGCGCATGCGCATTAGGTCTCCACAGGGGTGGGCGGGATCAGTCTTGCCCACCGGCTGACGCAATCACAAGGAGGAGCGGCGGTGGCGGAGGAAGAAGCAGTGATGTGGGACATGTTGCTGCCTCAGGTAAGTTACTGAAGGGGTTTTCACCCCTTCAGCAACAGGGGGTTAGTGGGGTGGGGGGGGAGGGGTCCTGCAGTGCCAGGAAAACAATCAGTTTCCCTTTAACTGACGCTGGACATGCTCATGCTCTGCATGAGGACATCCAGCGTGAGTAAAATCCCCATAGGAAAGCATTGAAGCAATGCTTTCCAATGAGGAGGGCCTAAATATCTCTCATAGCTCACCACACATACACATTAGCTCCCCTTTGGATTATGTCGGGGGAGGCAGAATGCCGGCCCAACGCCCAGGCACATCAGTGCTGGAATCAGGTAAGTGATTAAAGGGGTTTTGACCCTTTTTGACCCTGGGTGTAAGGGAGGGGGAAACCAAATGGCTGCATAACATCTATTGTATCTTGCCGAGGTCCATACTTGGTTAATTTTTAACAACTCTTTTGGATCTAACTGGACCTTCTGGATTTTGGAACCACCGTCCACTGTCAAAGACTCTTTCCCCAACATCACACTTTCTTGTGACATTTGAGAAACAAAATTAAATCAAGTTGAAGGGTTGATATGCCACTTAATGAAGCCACACCAATCTATATTCTGTTTCAGTGATACCATACTAGAGAGGCATGAGATGGAATTTCCTAGTTACCTCCTCTTTTGAAACCTGTATAGACAGACTAAACTGTCATAAAGCAGCTGGTTAGCAACACACTGCTCATAAGCATAATAATGATAACTTGTTCCAGACTGTGCACATGAATATTTATTTAATAATATTTGAAAACATCCAGACATGTGGGTAAGGTTAAGAAATCAGATATTATCCAGTCCTTGTGGGTGGTGGCAGACATTCTGCAGAGAATATCAACATTATCCAATTTCTGACTTTACCTGCACTAGGCAGAACAATATACTAAAAATTGCAGACTTTCCAAAGCTCTTTCAAGTCACCTAGTATATTAATCACTAAAAACATACTGGAAAATGTGCTATTAATAAGTACATGGGAAAGGTAATAAAATGTAAAATCAAAAGAACTATAAATGGTTTGAAGCCTCCACTTCTATATCTTATTTCATATATAGGATAAAACAATCATTGGTTGACCATGTTTTTATGACCAAAGTTTAGATTTTATTATCAACAACTTGATTGCCTTCATATATTAAGGCTGAATTGACCCTTCAGGTAATTGAACCTGTGAGTCTGACTTTTGAATAGGTTTTCAATATGATGGCAGGGTGTTAAGTCACAGTGTCCCTTCTAGTTGTCAATTTTATTTTCCTGGAGTTTGTTGGAGATGATTTGGATATTCAGAACAACTGGTCCACTTGCAAAGGACACGTATGTTAATGCACCAGGCTTTGCTATTGGTTGGCACTCTTGGGTGACATTGCTGGGAGAATGTTGCAGTACTTCCTCCTGATACTTTAAAGATGTTGTGTGTGCAGGGCCGACAGGGAAAAAAATTTGTCCTTGGAATCTTTTGAATTACAGTGGTCCAGTGGGAAAATGGCAGGGCATGTTGGTTCAATGCTCTTTCAGGGTAGCCCATGTTCATAGCTCTGCTGAAGACCTCTTGCATGAGAAAAAGCCATAGTGTCAGATTAACCATAAAGTTGCCTGATAAATAGTGAATCAATAACTGGCTGAGAGCATCAGCTCACCACTCTCAGCCAATCAGCGGCGCCACTGCCCGATTCTGCATTTGTCTTTCTGTTTCCCGATTTTGAGAAAACAGAAGAACAGAGAGGCAGGTACATTTTATGCTGAAACATAGACTTTAAGGTTAAACCAAGAATGGTTTAACCCCCTATGGTGAGCCAAAAACCTAATGGAACCATAAAACTACATTTTAATTAGGTATGGTGCCCAAACTGGTCCTTCAAGGCAGTTTTCAGCAAATAAATTCTCCCAGCAATGTCGTCCAAGACAGCCAACTAACAGCAAAGCCTGGTGCAGTAAACATGTGTCCTTTGCATTGATGGGAAGAAAGAAGTATGAAGTAGGCTTGCATGATCCGAAGCATACTACATCATCTGTAAAACACGTGGAGGCAGTGGCCCTGGGACACTGATGTTTACTGATGATGTTACAGAACACAGAAAAAGCCAGATAAATCCTAAATTGTATAGGGATGTATTGTCTACTTAGATTCAGCCAAATTCAACAAAGTTGATTGGATGGTGCTTCACTTTACAGATGGACAATGGCCAAAAACATACTGCGAAAGCGACCCAGGATTTTTTAAAATCATAGAAATGGAATATTCTCCAATGGCTGAGTCAATCACCTGATCTCAACATGATCAAGCATGCATTTCACTTGCTGAATACAAAACGTAAGGCAGAAACACCCACAAGCAACCAACAACTGAAGACAGATGCAGTAAAGGCCTGGCAAAGCATCAGAAAGGAGGAAACCCATTGTTTGTTGATGTCCATGTGTTCCCAACTTCAAGTAGCCATTGCCTGCAAATGATTCCTGACTTTCTCCCATTTGTCAATCAAGTATTTGAATGACAGGGAGAGCAGAAATAACCTCCATCTGTTCTCAAGCATGACGCTGTTAGTATTAGCTAGGGACTCGGGAGAATAGGAATGGAGTGGCTAACGTCATTTTGTTCAGATGCTGGCATGGTACATCATAGGGGAAGTTTGCTCTCATTGAGGAAGTGTCCCTAAGCAGGGTAAATGAAATAAAACTGGCACAGCATGGGCAGACCATAGATTTGTGTTCCAAAACAGTAACACCCACCTCTTTGAAGACATGGTGGTGTGCTGAATCAGAGGGTAAAGTGAATCCATGATAGGTTCACTTGAAGCATTTGTGTACGGCTTTAAATTCGATGATACTCATCAAAAGTGCAGTGCATACACTTAAACATTTGCTTGTGCTGCAATTTTCCTCAGTCCTCCCAACATCAGATGGCAGACCTGGTATATTGAGTGATGGGGATGACTTAAATGATCACTATAGGGTCAGGAACACAAACATGTATTCCTGACCCTATAGTGTTAAAACCACTATTTAGCCCCCCTGGGCCCCTCATGCCTCCATAAATATAGCAAAATCTTACTGTATTCAAGCTGTAAATCTGCATGCTGCTTGCCTCAGAAAAACAAGCAGTCTGCTGACATCATCAGAAGTGGTAACCTGATCCAATCACAATGCTCCCGATAGGATTGACTGAGACTGAGAAGGAGGCAGCTCAGGGGCAGAGCCAGCATGATCCAAACACAGCCCTGGCCAATCAGCATCTTCTCATAGAGATAAATTGAATCAATTAATCTCTATGAGGAAAGTTCAGTGTCTGCATGCAGAGGGAGGAGATACTGAATGTTTGGATGCATTTTAGGCAGCCACGACCCAGGAAGGATCTCTATTAGCTATCTGAGGAGTGGCCAGGGAAGTTATCACTAGGCTGTAATGTAAACACTGCATTTTCTCTGAAAAGACAGTACTTACAGCAAAAAGCCTGAAGGTAATGATTCTACTCACCAGAACAAATTCAATAAGCTGTAGTTGTTCTGGTGACTATAGTGTCCCTTTAAGCAAACGCATGTGACAAATGGAGCAACCAGGTGACTTTATAGCATTAAATTTTGTTTTTTAACCCACTATATTTAGAGTTTACAATGTAAAATCCCTGCTAAGGGCCCAGGCGTGCATCAGTAGGTAGATATGTTTACCTGAAGCTGTCCCCCTGTGGCTGCTGACCTCTTCTATCTTCAGATGCTTCATACGTCACGAGTTATGTCAATGTTGTACTCGTTAGCATGCATGAGAGTACAACACTGATATGAGTGGAGTATATCTGAAATACTCCATAGACAATCATGATTACTCACAAAAGTTAATTTTAATTTTAAGTCCAAAACATCCAAACTGGAAAATTCTCCAAGGCAGTTATTCAACTAGTTCAGCTAATTTTGGACTTAAATTTTAAATTCACTTTGAATTCTTACTTTAGTGAGTAACCCTGAAAGTCTTGCGACACATAACAAGAAACCTAATTCCCGCAGCCATCACTAGCAACGATGGGAAGTGACACAACTTCATATTGCCTTTTGTAAAATTTTGTCAGATTCAACCTTCACCATAAGACAAAGTAGTTGCTACTTAGTCTATGATATATTTTGACTGCCCTGGATTTTCATACCTCCCAACCTTTCAGATTGATCTTGTTTTACAACAATTGCTGTTTACTAAACACATTTATGGTAGTTAAAGGACGCGTCACCATGCACTGTATTGCTATGGCGCTATGTAACAGATAAAAATGAGTGACATTAAGATAAAACAGAGGTACAGGGGGATTTGGATGTAAAATAGGGACTGTTCCCCCTAAATAGGGACATTTGGGAGGTATGCTGAAATTCCATTTAAATGCAAACTCAGTCACTGTGTGTATTTAACAAATATTTTATTTATTATCATGAAATGCTCAATTCCTATAGTGTTGGTGACAGAGCAGCATTGACACGTCCTGATAAAGCACTCTGTGACAAAGCAATGGGTGTGCTGAAAGCACAATGCACGTCAGTGACTGGCACGCACTGCGCGGTGTGAACACGTTTGGACCTCCTGCTTCGCCGTAGACGGTAACGGTCCCCATGGTAACGGAAGGAAGTTTGTTCTTTCTGTGCATTACCGGTGCAGGAAGAAGCTGCTGATCGAGGAGCGGAGCAGGAGGAGATGGAGAGCATGGCGGCCTCTGTCCTGTGAGAGCCTGGACAAGCTGCCGAAGGACGGCTGGCAGGTACACGGCTTGGTATATAGACTGTATACTGACTGGACTGCTGTACAAAGGGTATTTTGGGAACTCTGCCACCAAATTATGTACAACATTTTATTTAAGTCTTTCTTTTTTTTTTGCCCAGACTTTTATTGCAGCCTATAACCGGTGTGAGTGCAGTTTGACAGGTTAGGGTAAAGGGACATTGTAGGCACCATAACAACTTCACCTAAATGAAGTTGTTATGGTTGCCTGCAGTGTTCCTTTCAGGTCAGAGTTGGTGAGGGGACATTGCCTGGGGTTTGTCATAAGGATCATAAATCAGTCCCAGGACCTGTTAGACAAGGAGGAGTAACGTAATTCATTGCCTTAGCCTTTTAGACTATAATTCCTTTAACCCCTTAAGGACACATGACATGTGTGACATGTCATGATTCCCTTTTATTCCAGAAGTTTGGTCCTTAAGGGGTTAAAGGACCACTATAGTGCCAGGAAAACATACTTGTTATCCTGGCACTATAGTGCCCTGAGGGTGCCACTCCCGTGGCGCTGAAGGGGGAGGAAGGGGTTAAACACTTAGCTTTTTTCCAGTGCCGGGCTCCCTCGGCGCTGGGACTCTCCTCCCTCTTCTGACGTCCCTGGCTGAATGCGCATGCGAGGCAAGAGCCGCGCACGCATTCAGCCAGTCCATAGGAAAGCATTCTCAATGCTTTCCTATGGACGCTGGCGTCTTCTCATTGTGAAAATCACAGTGAGAAGCGCGGAAGCGCCTCTAGCGGCTGTCAATGAGACAGCCACTAGAGGCTGGATTAACCAATAGGTCTAGTGGTTGTCTCTGTAAAGAGGGGTAAGACAAAATCCCTCCTGAGATGTGTGAATACCTGGTGGCCAACTACAAGAAATGCCTGACTTCTGTGATTGCCAACAAGGGTATTGCTACCAAGTACTAAGTCAAAGAGATCAAATATTTTATTTCACTTATTGACATGCAAATATGGTGTGTTACAATAAAACACACCAAATATCATCCACTCCCATCCTAATAGTTTTGTGGCATGTACACATTAGCCAAACTGACACCTCTCCTGACAGGCTTCTTGGCAGCACTATTCTAGTTTAATAAACATGAACAATTTTATTGTAACACACCATATTTGTTTCTATTTATTTTTTCATAATGTCCATATTGAAGTAAGAAAGGGAAGGGTCTTGGGCGAACTCAGCAGATATTGAATACTGCATTGATCTTTGGCTGTAGTATTTCAGCTAACAAGGGATCTTGTCAAACTTTTTTGAGAACATAGTTATTGGGCTCCCTTGTAAAAAAACCTGTAAAACACATTATCCTTATTTCTTTTCGGGTAACAATAAATGGAACCACTATTTTGCATTGCCAAACTTTGTTTACATTTATCTAAATCCTCTCTCTAGCTGCTAGCACATTTCTTGTATCCGACTTTTGACTGTTGGGTTGATTGAATACGTCAAAATATAGGTGTATGTGTTAGAGTGGCGTCCAAATAACTTGTCTAAGTCTTTTGGGCACAACACAGGGCCCAAACAGCAGTCTATCCGTGCTTGCCATATAGAAAACTGACAGGCTTACACATTTAGTTACTTTTAGTTGCATTTTATTAAAAGCCAAAGTCTAAAGTAGGACATAACCCTCTAATATAGTTAGTTGCTATTGTGCTTAACGGGACACTATAATCACTCTGACCACTTCAGCTCAATGATGTGGTCTGGGTGCCAGGTCCCTCAGGTTTTAACCCTTCACATGTAAACATAGCCGAGAAACTGCTAAGTTTACATAGTAGGGTTAATCCAACCTCTAGTGACTGTCTTCCTGACAGCCGCTAGAGGCGCATCTGCAATGCTGGATGCGAAATTCGCATCCAGCGTGCAGAATGTCCAAAGGAAAGCTAATGAGAAATTCTTTCCTAATAATAAAATTTCCTGTAGACAGTTTGAATGCCGCGCATGCGCATTCCCCTCCACTTGGGAGCTGACGGCGGGGAGGAGAGGTCACCAGCGCTGAGGGAGCCCGGCGCTGGATTAAGGTAAGTAGCTAAAGGGGTTTTAACCCCTTCAGCGCCAAAGGAGGGGGACCCTGAGGGTGGGGGCATCATAGTGTCAGGAAAACCGCCTTGTTTTCCTGACACTAAAGTGATTTTTTTTTATTTTATTTTTAATTGTATTGTTTAGAAGAAAATTTTAATTTTAACATTATAAAAACCATGTGCTACAAAAGATTGCAAATGTCAGACATTTTTATTTTACTATTCTTGGGCATGTGTTATACATTTATTTATTATTATATATATATATATATATATATATATATATATATATATATATATATATATATATAAAATAATAATAAATAAATGTATAACACATGCCCAAGAATAGTAAAATAAAAATGTCAGACATTTGCAATCTTTTGTCTGACATTTGCAATGTTATATATATATATATATATATATCCTGTTTTAATTTCATAAATCAATTGAGTATTTATTGCAGCATGACTCGTAAACTAAATTCAGTTTGCAATGATTACCACATTATTAAAAAAAATAATAATAATCCTACCTGTGCCTCCCAGTAAGGTTGTTCATGCATGTATCAAACAGTGAGCAATTTATTCAGACTTATATATAAGTTTAATGGTGCAAGTTACAGTACAGCAATAGAGTTTGTATTAATTGAGCATATGACAAAACTTTGCATACTGTAATGTTTTAGTGTCCAACCCTGCTTTCAAAGATCTTGCTAAAAGACTTTTCCCAGAATTGATAAGAAGTCAGTGGAGAATGACCTGCTTTGGACACCACTGTAATGTAATAAAGTAAAGCACCATGACCACTTCAGTGATTAGAAGTGGTCATGGTGCCTGGAGTCTGCAACATTTCGATATGAAACACTGCACATATGGAGTTTAATCCACTTGCTGCCGGAGGTGTAGGTCCACCTTTGCCAGCTTCATTGAGGCATCATTAGCCAGTTCTGAATAAGAGTTCTGGACTGGTTAATATGAATTCTGTGCAAATTTCTTTGCACAGAGTTCATTCTTTGGGTGAGAGTGATCAGCTGACACTCTCAGCCAAGGAGTAACTGGTAGGTACAGCATCCAGCTTTTGCAGTTTTGCAGAAGCTTGGTGCTGGACGACTGCTTTAGAGGAGACCAGGCTGTCATCAAAGACACCGGGGAATTGTGCCAGGGTATTTCTACCATCTTAACCACTACAGCAGGCTTTAGTGATTATGATTGGAGTAGCCGTTTAATTTTTGTTTTACTCCTAATAATATCTTCTTTCCTTTAGGACGTTCTGGTTAAACAAGAATGTCTTCAACATCTAGAGGATCATCAAGAACCACTGTATCAAGAAGCAAAGCTACTCCTTCTCCTTCAGCGGCTGCTGCCACTGGTTCTGCAAGTGGTGCTCGGCCGAGACCGAGCGATAAGCTCAATCCTAAAACGATAGACCCAGTAGGTTTTTATTTTTCTTGACTTGCATACATATCTTTTATATAACTGTGCAATCAATCACTAATTTCATTATTGTTCTCTGTTAACTGAATTGTATATGTTTTCCCAATATGGGTTTAGTTACATTATATGATCATATATTGCATAAGCCTGCCACAACATGTACTCCATTCTTTGCAGGTGGCTGTGGCTATAAGAAGTTGCAAAGCTGGTAGAGAGAGGGGAAAAAAAAAAAATCAGCTGAAGTAGATTCAATCAATACCCACAGTACTGAGGTAGATTCTATGCTTTATACATGAAAAGTCCTGAAGATAACTCCACACCCGATACTGGTACTGAATGGGTTAAGTTTAACCCTTAGGAAGCCCTAGGTACTAGTACTTCACAATCTATTGGTTATCAGTATTACTTCATATAGAACATGCAACAATACAAACCATTGTGTGGAAATCTATTCACAAACCGGACTTTACATAGGAGACGAGGTCATGCGTTTAGACTGGAAGAAAGAAGATTTCGTCTAAGGCAAAGGAAATGGTTTTTTTTACTGTAAGAACAATAAGGATGTGGAATTCTCTGCCTGAAGAAGTGGTTTTATCAGAGTCCATACAGATGTTCAAACAGCTACTAGATGCATACTTGCAAAAACAGAATATTAAAGGATATAATCTTTCAATGTAGGGTAATAACTGCTTGATCCAAGGATAAATCTGACTGTCATTCTGGGGTCAAGAAGGAATTTTTTTCCTAGGTTGTTGTAAAATTGTGCTTCAAACTGTTTTTTTTGCCTTCTTTTGGATCAACAGCAAAAAACAAATGTGAGGAAGGCTGAACTTGATGGACACAAGTCTCTTTTCAGCTATGTAACTATGTAACATTTATGTAAACTAAATGCTTATACATAAAGTAATATAGTCCAAATGGGTAACTCCCAACAGAAGAGATACAGAGCATGAAGGCAGTATCGGGGAAGGAAGGGGGGCGGAAAAGTAGTAACACAGCTAGGGTGTAGGTATATATTCCTATAAATTATACATGAAGCTGTAGAAAAACTACGTTATCCAGACCGATCTACCCTAGAGTACATTTGCTTCAAGGCAGCCACCCCCCTTTATTAAGGTTAAATCTAGACTAAGTAGATCATAGCCCCAGGAAAATAAATGATAGTATCTCGCAACCGGATAAGTAAATAACCTCCATCCTTAGACACACAAACAAAAAAAAGTTATAAAATCAAGTAAATCTTGTATTAGTGCATCGACACATAGGCTCGATGCGCGTTTCGGCGTAACTATCTGCCTTTATCAAGAACTGAATTGCTACTGCATTGTGCCCACATTTAAAAGGGGTGTTGTACCTCCTCCTCTATGGGGTTCACTAATCAGTGATATGACATCATCTAGTGGGATGCTCCTCCCTAGATGAACGTCCCACCAATCCCTGGGCTCATATCAAACAAAGAGGCGGGGTATAGTTAAAACAACCAGCCCCCTATCACAACCCCATTCAGCTCACTTTAGTTAACCCCTGATGTGTTTAAGAAAGTACAATGGAGGGGCATGTCGCCAACCCCCCAAGATCAGTTTGTATGAGTGCATTTTTATTACCTATCGCCTATTAATCAACAAGTGCTCATAGGGGAGCATTGCAGAAAGTCCCAGGAGCTACCCTTATGGTGTAAGGACGTTAATTCCAAGGATTGTGTAAATATATATTTATAAGGTTAAAACCTTTTTGTTAACCCCTGATGGTTTTAAGAAAATATAATGAAGTAGCATATCACCCCAAAAATCTAATACACTTCGATGGTTTTAAGAAAATATAATGAAGGAGCATATCACCCCAAAAATCTAATACACTTCTTTTAACCCCTTAAGGACACATGACGGAAATATTCCGTCATGATTTCCTTTTATTACAGAAGTTGTGTTCTTAAGGGGTTAACCATTGTCCATTATTCAACAAGTGCTCCTAGGATAAGTTAACGAAGGTCCTAAAGATTATCCTATTATTATAGGAAAGTTCATGGAAAGCTTGCTTTGGTTACTGGGCGAAAAAAATGAGTGCTAAAGTTAAAATACAGTATATATTTACATACTAATTTACCATCTACATGATTAATATCAGGCTCTCGTACATAAATCCTATAAAGAAAGCAGGTTAGCTCAATTGCCAATTTAAATAAAAGGTGAAAATGAGAAGCCCTAGTTTAATCTCAAGGGTTAGATGGTTTTTAATTTGTGTATCCATCTACATTCCCTCTGTCTCAAACTTTTGTCATAGTCCCCCTGTCTCTGTTCTTTTTTTCACCAGTTCCAAGCCGCAGAATTTTATATCTTTAGAGTCCACTCTGTGGCAGTCCCGAGGTGTCGGGAGATCAGAGTTTTCAAGCTTTTTTTTAGGGGACCTTACATGCTCTTTCATTCTTTCTTTAAATGGACGGAAAGTCTTGCCAACGTACTTCAAATTGCAACTGCAGGTAAGTAAATACACCAAACCTGCAGTATTGCAGTTAAAAAAGCTTGTGATTTTGAGGGACTGATGACCCTCACTGTCACATATTTTTGAATCCTGTAGGATAAATACCACAGTGGGGAGTTCCTAACCATGTAGTTAGTGATTTTATGGGAGGTTGAAAGATGCACGGGACGAGGATATCCCTGGGATTTCTGCCTCTTTGTGCCGTGATGGTCACCTGAGGCCCAAGAACATCCTTAAGGTGGACATCATTCAATAGGATCGGCCACAATCTCTTCATGGACTGTTTCACTTCACTCCATCCCACATCGAATGTTGCCATCATCCTGATCGCTTTGGCATTTTCCTTTGGAGGGGGATCTGCCAGAAGGGCATTCCTATACGTCTCCTGGGTGTAACATATTTTTAAACCAGGGGAAAAAAAGCAAATGGAACTGGCAAAAAAACAATCTGTAAGAGAGACCATGAGAAATAATATGGCTTAAACCATCTCAACCCTTTCAAAATCTAAAAGAATGTTGCACAAGGAAAAGGGCTGCGCCACATCAATATTACGGTAATCAGACAAACTGAAAAAAGTCTTGTCCCAACAATGAAAGTTCTCACATACAAAGATGCCTTTTATTAAGTGCTAAATGCAGCTGTAGGTGTTAAATAGGCATGGATAGTTCAAATCTCTTAGGTATCTTTATGTGAATAAAGAAAGACAAGGCAAACTGAGCACCTGAACACCTTTACCGATGTGGACGCCCCTCATTATATCCTTCAAGTGGGGCTTGTACCGCTGTACACGCTAGAGCTGGCCATAGCTCTTTTACATGTGAGTGTGCCGTTTCTACCTTGAACCCTGATACTAAGTTTTGATATCTTGCCTTGTCTTTCTTTATTCACATACGGATGCCTAAGAGATTTAAACTACTACATCCCCACATTTGATGTGGCGTAGCCCTTTTTCTTTTTACGGTGAACAAAGTCCTGTATAAATGTAACTCTATCATTGCCAACAGCCTTTCTGTAATTGTTGCTAGTTGTCCATCAACAATCTGTCTAGACAGTAGCTAGTTTTTGTCCATAAAACCTTGTTTACTTTTATCTTTGATTGCTTTCCCTCTGAATTTTGCTGCGCTAAATAAAGTGTGAAATGGTGCCAGGAGTGTGAATTTAAAGTGGCATTAAAAAGGGAAGTCATTGGCAAAATGACTTTCTTTCTTACAAAAGCAGCTGGCCCCAAGGAATTACAGTACACTGGCAATGGGTGTCACTAACATGTCACCAGAAGCTAGCTGTTCATGAGTCCTGTCATAAGAAATTAATTATTAACTCTACAACTGCAGAAACAAAAGAAAAGACTTGTATTTTCATATATATTGACTAATCCTTTTAAATTAAAATTGTACAATCTAATGGTTTCAGTAATTGGGCTGCATGCCTTCTTCATTCCCAACAACTGACCCACGACATATCGTAAACATGCTACTGTGCATGATGGTGAAATTCATCTCCCAACTGGCATGCCCATTGATGAGTAAGGACTTCCACAGCTCTGTGCGTTAGTAACTGAAGAAATGTTGGCTCTTCTTCTAATATAATTTTAAACCCATACATAATTTTATATATTTCATGTCATGTCAGTATTATTTGTTTTTTAAAAAGTACAGGTAAGCATGATAACTAAAACTTTAAGTATTGGAAAAATAACAAAACTTTTTTTTTTTTTTTTTTTTTTTTTATCAACTGATAATTTCTACCCAGCTAGAGCAGCTAATGAAATAATTGTCCTGATTTTGGAAATACATTCTCCATTTCCAATCTCTTATCTGCAGTTATTGGTTACTGGCTTACCTGCCAGTTCTTCAGATCGATTTATCCCCTTTTTTGCTGCAATCCTGTTTTTACCTAATTCACCAGTGTCCTGATTTATAAGACACCGATGTTGGGGAGTATGCACCCCTATAACAGCTGAAATGGGAAGTTACAGGAACAAATTTAGACATACCACAAAGTGTATATGCGTCTTTGTTTGCCCACCAGTGACTCTGCTAAAAACTGCCTGTGTCATTATACTGACCACTAAGTACCTGATGTGGGCTGAAACATTGTTTCGATTTTGCTCCAATAAATCTGCCCACTGGATTGAACTTGAGTGCCAGGACCATGATTACTTTTTTGGAAATCGCATTGTGAGGATTGGCCAACCTCATGCCAAGTTGCACTCTGGGATCCAGGAGAGTGCGGTATCCATATTGGTAAATATATTATACTGACCAATGTCAGATGTTTAAATTGTATCAGTAACATTGTGGAATATACCTTACCCCAGCTTAAAAATAAATACATCTGCTATTCCAATTCTAAGGAACACTCTAACACCATTACCACTTAGCATGCTGTATGTGTTATGGTGCTTTAACTGTTCGTAGTAACAGTTTGACTACTAACCTGGGGTTTGTCAGGTGCCCGCTGCCTGCCTCTCCTCTTATAGTATGAAGAGCTGGTAGTTCCTTCTAGGAGCTTCTGCGATGCAGGGCCAGCTCATTGGCTGAAAACATCAGCATGCAGCTAAGCTGTTGACATATTGTTTGATTTGATTGTTGGAGCACACTGAAGTGGTTGAGGTATTTGGCGTGTTCCTTTAAATTAATTATAACTCCAAAGCTAAATCAGGGGATCAAGACTGAAAAGTTGGTGTGAGACCACATTGTCATGTGACTTAACTGTCATTTAACACATGTAGTCTCTATGATTGACTCTCAGAGCCAATCTCCAATAGCCTGCTACACACCAGGCTTTAATATGGAGGTGCCTCCAGCCATGTAGTGTAGTCTGAGACAGGTGATCGACTGTCACAGTAATTGGATGCCTTGGCAGTTTTTGGTTTTGCTGGAATGACTCATGCTTGAGTATCCTGGTACAAATACCAGAAACACCAGAAGCCTCAGATGCTCCTCTATAATAATGGTTCTCAAATGGCTGCGGTATGAGACACTAAGAGCTTCCACCCTGGATGGTGGGAAGCAGTGCTTTGTGGACCCTAGGTAAGATGTTAACCATTCTAAAGCGATTTGACTACCTACAAAGGAGGGAGGCACCAGGGACTCCTAGCACCATAAACAATAAAGCACTTTTGAATACTTATGGTCTTTGGAGTGCTCCTTAAAGTTATATTGCTGGCAATTTGGTAAATGTATGCCTACTTTGAAAGTGAAATTATTATCCACATGATTTGGTCACATTCTAGGAAGACTAATATTTTTTAAATTAATTGTACAGATATTGTTAACTGAAACATGTTTCCTATTCTATATGCTTGTATTTGTGACCTTGTACATGTTCTGCTCAGTACACAACAGGTGTGCTTTTCTGCTTACCATTTCATGCTTGAGCATCATTCAGTCTAGAACAGCCAGGTCAAGGTACATCTAATTGCTACATCACTTGCCAGTACTGTGTAGAATTAATTAATACACACAAGCAGGTGTCCGCTTCCTGAGCCAGGAGAAACTCATCAGAATATGTAAAACCTGAGTAAATTTCATAAAGGATTGCTATGGCTTTCTAATTATCCATTTTATTGAGAATCAACACATCTAATCAATTCTACCATCAGAACTGGACATGAAGAAATATTTGACTCTGATGTACATAGCACTTTGTATATTTGCAAAATGATTTTAATAATCTTAGTTATAACCAAAAATGTACCAGCAAAATTATGTCCTCAGAGTATCTCATGCATCTGAAGAATATTCCTGTATCTGAATAAAAATCATAACAAGTAGCTGAGAAAAGATATCTTTCTTCCTTTAGTAGTTATTAACAAATGTAGCATGTTAAGATTAATCACCAATGAGACATTTATTCTCTTTGATGACTGCATTGCTTGAGGGTATTATGCGCATAGATCAATGTATTTGGATAGGAACACACTTTCATTTATGATTTGGCTCAGAACTTCATCATATTGAATGGTAAATAAGACATTGACTACAGGGTTAAAGTGCTAATAGCCACTTTTAATTCAAGGATCTTTGTAGCCATGAAACCAGTATCCACTGCTTTTTAAGGGGATGGGGGAAGGGTAATGGGAGTTGGATGCTACTACACAAATGGTATTTTTTCAAGACAAAAGAAAGCCATTCAGAGCATTGAATAACTGTAATTTGCCCAGCATAGAAGTTAGACGGTGGTGAATCTAGAGATGAATGAGAATTATGCAGCTATGGAAGATATTAGGATTTCATCATTAAACCTCAAATTTGAATGCGTTAAAAAAGTTTAATTTCAGAATTTAGACTGAAATAGTCAAGATTTGACTTATTTGTAGAAAAAAAAACAGAACTTTTGCTTAAATTTGTCAGTTTAGGTTTTGTTGAAATAAGCTGCTTAGTCTTTCAATTCTTTATATATTTTCAAACGTTTTTGATAGTTGGATTCAGAATGGGCAGATTATGGTTTCTAGCCACATACTGCCCGGCTGGTCATCTGTGGAGCTATATCCTGTAATGAATGGGCAATATTACACACATCATCTCCAGTCAGTCGGGACACTCTACCCTTAGGCAGCACTGAATGACTTCCAAACTGAATCTGCTGCTAATTTAATGGCAGTAGGTATTAATGCTTGGGCAACACTGGGACAAGTATGTCTCTGCTGCCCTATCAGTAAAGACATTCCCTTAAAAGGACACGCCAAGAACCAAAGCCACAAGTTCTTAATGTAGTGTTTTTTGGGTTTTTTTGTTCATAGATGCTCTCTCTTGGAATAGGTAAAAATATTATCATTTCTGAGAGACCCCAATTTAAATTTGGCTGAAAATGCACCTCTAGTGGCTGGCAGGCAGACAGCTACTAGAAGCATTCTTCCTCTAGTCCTTCGAATTTTTTTTTTTTTTTTTTTTAATGGTCTTCACATTTATAGTCATCACTCACAGCATGATAATACTAAATGCATTCAATGCTCATCATTGAGAAGCACTGGCTTGGCGTATGGGTTTGCAGTGCTTCTATATGAGAAGCATTGATTGGATCATTTTTCTCAGAGCAACCCAGTAGCTCCATAATCTACACTAAAAATGGAACACTAGTTCTAAGGTAAATATATTTATCTCTAACTTTAGAGTGTTCCTTTAACCACTATACTAACACTAAACATTAAACTATACTACCACAACTCTAACTATAAACCCACTACACTACAATATCACTAAACTTTACATCACACTTTACTAACCATTAATGTATGCACTGCACAACACTGACACTTGACATTAACCCCAACTATTAATTTAACCCTTGTGCAATCCTGTTACTCACCATTAACCTCTACACTACACGAATACTAATCCTTAACTCCTACATTGCCACTAATGCTAACCTAAATAGAGTACCTCATATACAAATATATAATGGCAAATTGTTTAATAGGGGAAAATAAGATTTTTAAAGGTATTTCTAAATCAGTTGACTTTATTGATAAGTACTTGACCAGGTGCAATTTTCAGTCCATAAATATAAAAACAAAAAATTAGAAAAGTGCACAAACACATGCATATATAAATATGGAATCCTGTTCTGCATGTGGTATTGCATATTACAATCAGAATCTGGTACCACAATATCTGTAGATTGCTGACTTTAATCACTTTATAAAATTGTCAGAGAAGAGGGTTTAGGTAAGGTGTTTTAGGATGTTTTAAGTCTCCGGAAGGGGGCAGCTAAGTGGCATGTCTTCAACCTTCCAGCCTGCATATATTGGTCTTTCATATTCTTGCTCTTAAAGGACCACTATAGGCACCCAGACCACTTCAGCTTAATGAAGTGGTCTGGGTGCCAGGTCCATCTAGAATTAACCCTTTCTGCTGTAAACATCGAAACTGCTATGTTTACAAATGGGTTAATCCAGCCTCTAGTGGCTGTCTCATTGACAGCTGCTAGAGGCGCTTCCACGCTTCTCACTGTGATTCTCACCATAGGATAGGCTAGGAGAAGGCTTTCCTATGGACTGGATGAATGCGCGTGCGGCTCTTGACGCACATACGCATTCAGCCGATGACGGGGAAAGAAGGAGGAGAGTCCCCACCGCCGAGGGAGCCCGGCGGGGGAAAAAAGGTAAGATTTAACCCATTCCATCCCCTAGAGCCCGGCGGGAGGGGGGCCCTGATGGTGGGGGGAACCTAGAGACCCTATAGTGCCAGGAAAACAGGTGTTTTCCTGGCACTATAGTGGTCCTTTGAACTGTATCATGTGTTTGTGTTTTTCTCTCTCTCATGTTAATTGAATCAATACTTTCTTGAAAAATCGCGTTGTTTTTAATAACAGTTTATATGATTATTAAAGAGATAAAATATACATTGTCATGTTGTGATCTTATGGGAACACTATAGTTACCAGAACAGACTAATGTAGTTTTTCTGGTGAGTACAGTCTGTCCCTGCAGACATTCTGGTGTAAATACTGCCTTTTCAGACAAAAGGTCTGCCTAGGGACACCTCAAGTGACAGTCACTCAGACGGCCACTAGAGGTGCCTCCTGGGTAAGTCACTGACATTCAGTGTCTCCATGCTCTGCTTTATGAGGATATTCTGATTTGCCAGCAGAGCGTTTGACTCCACTCACCACACCTCAGTGCTTTTGGTTTAGCTGAGAGTGTCCATTCTGATGAACTCAGCCAAGGATGCTGATCGGAGTAGGGCCAGCGTATTTAAGGGGTGCAAAGATCTTTATGAAATACTCATTTTGACTGGGTTTGAATTTCCCTTAAATTCTAACCCACACAAGAGATACACAAAGAAAAAGTAGGGATTACTTTGTCTCTGTATATTTTCTCTGCATGACTCTCTGGGCAGAGCTATAGAGTCCATCCCTACAGCCGTCACCAGTAACAGCTGCCAGGAACTGGCTCTGTCTGTGGACGATCCCTCGCATGATCTCCCATAGACCTTAATGCTGTATTCTTGCACATGTACAAGAGTTCAGCAGTCACGTCAGCTCTTGGTGCATAAACACCAGGATCTGAAGAGGACCTGTGAGAGAAAGATGTCGGCACCAGCGAGAGACAGGTTCCGGTAAGTAAGTCTCACCTTTACCTGCCCTCATGGCCACCGGACCCCAATGGGGATCTTTGCGAATTTGGCAAAGTCCCCAGGTGTGACAGTGTCGCTTTAATACTGTAATTGTGATGTCTACATCCATCGTTCTGAGTACTCTGAGCAAAAAACCTGGCATGCCTGTTGCCAGCATAGAATATAATGCATTTTTATTGTATTTGATATGCCTGCTGCATGCTTGTTCAAGGTCACAAGTTATGACATACTGACAAGCAAGGCAAATGTAATAGATATAAAACTGATTGATAGGCATCATTTTATGTTTTGCAAAATTGTTTGTGATTGCATGGACATAAATATTTTATAGCTCTCTCTGCAAATTCTGTTTGCGCTAGCAACAGTATTATTACAATCCAAAAAATTTCAATTTTTAATGTCTTTTTCCATTTAGTTTGCTGAGCCACAGCGATCCCCCTCTGCGTTTGCTGCTATATATTCTAAAGGCGGTGTCCCTTGCAGGTAAAGCCATCCCTTTCTTGCTTTGTTGTAATATATAGATAAGTTTCAAAGTACATATGGTTATCTCTGGCAATCAGTGAGCAATTCAATTATAAACCGGCAACCTGTCAGCAGTATATTTATTTAATGGGAGCATTTAAAAAAAAAAAAAAAAAAAAAGTTGTTTGTTTATTTTGATGTTTTTATTTGTTTATTTTAAAATCATACTTTGCTTTTATTGCAGATAGTGTGCTTAGCAGTGTCTGCCTAAGGTGTTTTTTTTTTTTTTTTATTCATGGATTAAACAGATTGTCTGTATTTGAGCATAATACCCACATACAGTATATACAGTTAAATCGTATATGTCTAAAATAAAGGTATTTAAATGGCTACATCAATCTAACAATCTCTGGAATGCTGCCTGTCAATTTTTGTTTTCAGATTGGTGCATGGTTCTGTAAAACACAAATTGCAATGGGAACGTCTTCCAGAAACCATTCAATTTGATCCTGTGTTAGTAACATTAGCTGAGGTAAGATAATTGTGCTGAATGTCACTATTCATTCTCTGAATAAAATATAAATGATGCTTTTTATGTTCTCTAGCTTATTGAGTTTAACTTCACGTAAACTTTCTCAGGGTTTTCATATCTAACTTTTACAAAAGAAAACAGTAGTTCCTCAGTTGCTATTAATGACTCAATATCTGCAGCTTGTTAAAGGATCACTCCAACCACTAACGTGTGCGTTAGTTAGTAGTTATGGTGCCAAAAGTGCACTGTTGTGCCAAACTATTTGTTAATGGTTGTGCTGGGCTTAGCTAATTGGCTGAGAGTGATCAGGTGATGCTCTCAAGCAGTGAGCCTGCACAGGGATTAGCTAATGGAAGCTTAGTGTTAAATATTACTATAATTTGCATATACATTTAGTTGTGATGGCAACTTTTAAATTTTTCAGGCAGTAATCCTTAAACTACTTAGTGAGGCTGTTCTGTATTAACACTTTTCTGATGTAGAATTACCAAGGCATTAAGAAGGGAATTAGGGAACTCCAGACAGGTTTGTACATTTTCTTCAATTTTAATAATCAATTAAAAACATTTTGAAGGTTAACTTATCACTTTATTTATTTATTTTAAAGCTTTAATTAAAACTGACACGTGAATTCCCTCAAAGAACTGTGAATCCTATAGATTGAGAAATACAATACATTAAACTTACCACACTGGAAAGGCCTCTATCTGTTTCTGCAATATCTGGCAGTCTAACTTTGTTCTTTTACAACCTATGTCTCATGATATTTATGTTCATGGATGGTGCCCTATGGAAAATCCCATGACATATGTGTCATCCTGGAGATATGCCAACGACATCATTGGTTGCTAATGTTAATATCCAGGCTTACCAATGAGCATGCTGATTGAGCCGATTAGAGACACTCAACTTTATTTACAGATAACATAGTATTTTAAGAGAAACTCCAAACACCATAACTTGGATTATCCCGTTTATGTATTTCTAAAACATTCATCTGACAAGTCCACTTTTTATCATTTCCAAAAAGAGATCTGGCTGGTTCCTAATTGTCTTTTAAATCTCTATAATATACCAAAGAAAAGTGAATTTGATAGAACGATAAAAAGCTATTCTACTTAACCTCTTAAGGACCAAACTTCTGGAATAAAAGGGAATCATGACATGTCATACATGTCATGTGTCCTTAAAGCGGCACTGTCATGCCGAACTTACCTTTCCTCAATCTCTTCCTCTTCTCCTCCTCTCTCAGGATCTGTTATTCTTTTCTTCCTGTCTTCTTTAGTTTTCTTTAAAATCATAAGACAAAGTAAGGACTCTTTGCCTTATGGAGGATTCCTCCGCTTGACCAGCTCTGACCAGCGGAGGAGCAAAGTGTGCTTCATTTCCGCTGGTCAGAGCAATTTTCCCATGATCCTTACCTTCCCTCTGTGTTCCCGCGATGCTTCCTGTCATTTTACATGAAACTGCCGAATTGCGTTCTAACTGAATGAGAACAGTCTGTTCGTTCCTTTTAGAACGCAATTCGGCACTTTATTCGGATCGGAGTTTCATTCTAATGAATGAAACTCTGATCCTATTCATTGCTGTGGCTGCCTCTTGCAGCCGCTTAGTAGATAACTCCCTAATTCCCACGGTATCAGGGAGTTATCTACTAAAAGGCTGAAAGACCTAAATTGGTCTTTCAGCCACATTTACTAATACTAAGTAAAGATTACTTAGTATTAGTAAATTAAATACCCCTGCTCGCTATATCGCGAGTAGGGGCATGTGTAGTAAGCAGTGAGCAGCGTATAGTTGCTCACTGTAAAAAAAATAAAATAAAAAATAAAAAATAATACCCCCCCCCCCATGCCTGTGGGGGCCCTAAATAAAGATGGGGGGGGACCTACTGGCCCCCCTGGCCCCCACCCCTGCGCGGTGGGTGGGGGCCCTAATAAAACAATAGGGGGGGGACCTACTGTCCTCCCCCCCCTGGCCCCCACCCCTGCGCGGTGGGTGGGGGCCCTAATAAAACAATAAGGGACCTACTGTCCTCCCCCCCTGGCCCCCACCCCTGAGCGGTGGGTGGGGGCCCTAATAAAACAATAAGGGGGGGACCTACTTCCCTCCCCGGCCCCCACCCCTGGCGGTGGGTGGGGGCCCCTAAATAAAGCTATGGGGGGAACTTCTGTCCCCCGCCACCCTGCTAGCGGTGGGTGGGGGCCCTGTAATAAAACAATAAGGGGGGGACCTACTGTCCTCCCCTGGCCCACCCCTGGCGGTGGGTGGGGTCAGTAAAACAATAAGGGGGAACCTACTGTCCTCCCCTGGCTACCCTGAGCGGTGGGTGGGCTATAACAATAAGGGGGGACCTACTGTCCTCCCCCCTTGGCCCCCACCCCTGAGCAGTGGGTGGGGGCCCTAAATGAAACACCCCCCCAATCAAGGTGACTAGGGGTCCCAAGCCCCTAGTCACCCCCCCACCCAAAAAAAAACTATCCCCTACCTACCCCCCTCACCCTAAAAATAGTGAGGGGGGAATAAAATAACTAACCTGTAAAAGAAAATTAAACTTACCATTTGACGTCTTCTTTTTTTTTAAATCTTCTTTCTTCAGCCCCCCAAAAGGCCAAATAAAAATCCATTATACCCATTAACAAAAAAGAGTGCAAAAAAAATTAATCCATGTTAGCCCTTGAGGGACGCCATGAACTGAGCTCCATGAAGCGGGTCAAGGCTTTCTCATGCCCGCCCTGCAATTAGGCTTAGAACACTCTGATTGGTGGGTTTAAGCCAATCAGAGTGCTCTGAGTCATTTTACACAGCTTGGGAAAATTCAAAAGAACTTTCCCATGCTGTGTAAAATGACACAGAGCACTCTGATTGGGTGGCTTGAAAATTCAAAAGAACTTTCCCATGCTGTGTAAAATGACACAGAGCACTCTGATTGGGTGGCTTGAAAATTCAAAAGAACTTTCCCACGCTGTGTAAAATGACTCAGAGCACTCTGATTGGCTTAAACCCACCAATCAGAGTGTTCTAAGCCTAATTGCAGGGCGGGGCAAGGCTTTATATGCGCCCTGCGGAGCTCAGTATGCGGCGTGCCCTCGAAGGGCGAACATGGATTAATTTTTTTTTGCGCTCGTTTTTTTTTTTTTTTAAAGTGCGACGGGTATAATGGATTTTTATTTGGCCTTTTTGGGGGCTGAAGAAAGAAGATTTTAGAAAAAAGAAGACGTCAAATGGTAAGTTTAATTTTTTTTTTACAGGTTAGTTATTTTATTCCCCCCTCACTATTTGTAGGGTGAGGGGGGTAGGTAGGGGATAGGTTTTTTTGGGTGGGGGTGACTAGGGGCTTGGGACCCCTAGTCACCTTGATTGGGGGGTTGTTTTATTAGGGGCCCCACCCACCGCGCAGGGGTGGGGGCCAGGGGGGGAGGACAGTAGGTCCCCCCCCCCTTATTGTTTTACTGGGGCCCCCACCCACCGCTCAGAGGTGGGGGCCAGGGGGGGGAGGACAGTAGGTCCCCCCCCCTTATTGTTTTATTAGGGCCCCCACCCACCGCGCAGGGGTGGGGGCGGAGAAAAACAGTGGGTCCCCTTATTGTTTTATTAGGGCCCCCACCCACCGCTCAGGGGTGGGGGCAGGACAGTAGGTCCCCCCCTCTTATTGTAATTTATGTCATTTTTTTCAACAGTGAGCAGCCACAGGCTGCTCACTGTTTAGTAGACATGCCCCTACTCGCGGTATAGCGAGTAGGGGCATTTGGGAGATTTTAATCTCCCTTGTGCTATTATGGGGGTCATATTGACCCCCATAGAGTGAGAGGGGGTACTGGGGGGCTTATGAAGTGGTGGGGAGCACTGCTCCCTGCCGCTTCTATCTTTACATATTACAAGGAGGGAGCTGCACGCCGGTAGCTCCCTCCCTGTAATAAACTGCACGAACAAACATACACTGATACATTGTGTTTGTTTGTTCGGCTGATATTTCTATTCACTCATTCGTCTGTCTGATGAATGAGTGAATAGATGAAATTCCTGTTCGCATGTCCAGGTGTTTCACTGGGCATGTGCGGGAATCTCACAGTGCTGTCTAGTGTGGGCTGATGACGTGTCCCACAGGGACTTCACCTACCCACACAAAGATGGCGGCTCCCTGAATAAAGATCGGGGCAGAAAATAAGGATTAAAAAATAGGTAATGTGGGGGGCATAGGGGCATTTGGGGGTGACTAGTGGGTCAATTGGATGTAGTGGAGGCGGGAGGGGGGTTAAAAAAAAAAAACGTGATTCGGCATGACAGTGCCGCTTTAAGGGGTTAAAGACCCTTCTGTAAATATAGTGTAAGCAGAGGCATCAGGTATACCCCTCATATACAAGAAAGATGCTCCATCAATCTATCAGCTCTTAGTATGGTCAAAAAGGGTGTTATATTTTTTTTTTTGCTCCATTAAATGATATTTAGTTTATCCTCCACCTGCAGTTACTCATCCCATAGAGTTGCTAAGTAGGTTGATAGCAATCCATATCATGGCTGCTATAACCCTGATCACAGCCCAATTAAAATTTTTGTGAACAGTGCTGCGTGCAGTGATCTCATAAGCTCCCAAATAAGTGTCAGAGCTGGAGGAAGGAGGAAAAAGACCAATCCAAGTTGTACATGTGGCATGCACACACCACAAGCACAAGCAGGACAAACTTGGACTCCGGAGACCAAAGTAAAACTCCTTCTGTTGTATCAGAGATACAGGGGGCAAGTTTATAGCAGTTTTTTGTTTTGTTTTTTTTCAATGCATTATACTTCTTCAGTTTCAAACAGGAACAACTCTAAAAAGGAAACATATAAAATTCAACTAGCACAATAAACTCACAATATATTGGTAAAATGGATCATTTTGACACATAAAGACCCTTTTAACACCTTAGGGAATAATCACAACCTTAACAATGCAGTCCTCAAACTGACATGTAATGGTGCCAGATAAATAGGACATTCAAAGACTCTGCCAAGTCCCTTGTGTCACCAAATAAATAGGGCATTGCACTGCCAGCATGATGTCTTTGATGTGAAGAATTTGATGAAAGTATGGTTATTGGTCCTTGGCAGGTTAGGCATTTAATAAATGTTTTGTATCAGAACACTTTCTTGCAGTGGATGTAGTTTGAAAGAAATAACATACACACAATATTTATGTCCAGCTATAAATCAAAAACCATATTCACATTAAAGCATTTATTTCAGATTCAGACATGGCTATAGTTACATATCACTTGCCTATGAATGCACACATCTACACTGTCTTGTTCTGTCAAAATATTTTGCATGCATGTGTATGGATTCATACTGCATACATTTTAAAAGTACTTTGGCTTGTACATACTGTGTTTTATAAACCATAAAATGTAAATGTGTAAAAATGTGATACAGCTTCAGTGTTTGTATCAAAACAATTCTTCGAACGATTAAATATGCTTTACTCTTATATCAGATAAACGAAACATTTCCTTCCCAAACTCTGCGTTGAACCCTGTAATTTGATGGTACATTTTGTCACACATTTAAAGTGAATAATGAATGATTGATTGCTATTTAGCATCAGAGTATTTTATAACAGCTGCCACCAAATTTTAATAGCTCTGAGACACAAGGAGCTGTGTTCCTAACAGCCTGGTGCAGATTAATCAAGTTCCATCAAAATCATTTTATTTATCTGCCAAATCGTTTAATTCCTGGGCAGCTCATGCTTTATATAAGTATAGATTTCTTTTTAGTTATAACCCGGATTAAATATGTTATCTTCTTGTTTTTTTAGTTAATAAATTGTAAATGCCTTTGCAATTAAATGTCTTCTATGAGATGATAGATTATATTAAATTGTTCATCTGTAATAAATAACTCCTAAAGACTGTCAGGTTATTTTGATTTATAATCTGTAAAACCACTACCAATAATAAGATACTGAAAAAGTTTGTCTCAAAAGCTTTGCTGTTGGAGCTCTTATTTCAATTTTGTGTCCTGACTTTCAAGTTCTGTCTGCTAAAAGGAGTGTTCTTCTTGTGGTATTACGCTGGTATGGGCAAACTCTTGTTTACTGTGCTTTATATACACCATAATCTGTTCATTAGAGTATGCTATTGTGCATATGTAATGCATTTTAATTGTGTTTTATGAAGAGGTTTGCATGCTTTTAGAACAATGTCTGTTGACATTTCATTCTGATACACTTCCCCCACCTTAAAATGACATGCATCTTCTTTGATCTCTTAAAGGAACACTGTAGGGTTAGAATTACATATCTGTATTCCTATCGCTACAGCCCTGATGACCCTCATCAACTAAACCCCCACCCCCCGGTAAAAAAACAAACAAAAAAACACTGAAGCAAATTAAAACTAATCACTCACATTTTCTCTAGCACCAAGTCTCTCTCTGCACTGCCCTGACTCACCTCCTCAGGTTGAATCATCCTGGATGATGGGCCAATATAATTCTTTGGGGAACGTAGGCATATGTGCGGCACTCACCGCAATACGCCTATAATTCCTCCATAGAGAATCTTTGTATCTAATGATTTTCTATGGGCGATCTTGACAGGACCGCTCATGCGCATGTGACTTCACAGTATTAGAGCCGGGAAGTAAGATTCCCAGCTCTCATACCCAGAGGGCTTGGAAGCAGGGCTTAATGCCTTCAAGTTAGTGAAATAAATGGTTTTAGGGGTATGCTGGGGGCGGGGAGGGGCAGTACTGCATGCACTATAACAACTTGATAAATATAAAGATAAAAAGATAAAGCTTTTAAAGTGCCTACAATATTCCTTTAATAGATATTTTTTCACTTTAATTTCCCCTGCTGCAGGGTCTTAAAGAAACAAGGCATCCATACACCTTTGTCTCTCAGGAAGGATTTAAAGAGTTGTTGATGGTCCCTGGAGCTCAACAAAAAGCTCTGCCATTGTTACCCAAGTTGGCAGTTGCATTGAAAGGTGCCCTGGTATGTATTTCTCACAGACAGCCCTTCCTTTTAATGTACAGGTAGATTGCTTTTTGTCATTAATGAAAACAAACCATGGATAACCTGCGAAGTCAACTGTGTGATGTTGATGGAAAGATACGATCAATTAGAGGTAGAATGGTTGAATATTAATGTTTTAATTAACTATTAACAAAATGTGGACTTGAAGGCTAAAAGTTGTTCTACCACTGCAGATAGCTGATTTTGAATTCAGGATTCCAAACCAATATCTATACATGCATAAAAGTGTGTGTGTATGTATAAATATATATTGACCCTGGAACCATATAACCACACAGTCTTAATAATAGGAACACCACATAAATCGTATTTCTTGTAAATGCAGTCTTTTTCTTTATTAAGAGGTCTGGCAATTTGAACAAAAATAAAACAAACCAAAAAAAGCCTTGATCTTCTGAGCTCTAACCTCTGTTGAGCAGCTTACCCGCTTCCAACTATACAAAACACAAATTTGAGCACAGACCTTTTTTTGAAATACCGTATTTATCGGCGTATGACACGCACCGGCGTATAACACGCACCTCATTTTAAGAAGGAAATTTCAGGGAAAAAAAACTTAAAGGACCACTATAGTGCCAGGAAAACATACTCGTTTTCCTGGCACTATAGTGCCCTGAGGCACTTCTCCTCTCCTCCTTGCTCGCGACGTCATCCTCCTCTCCTCCTTGCTCGCGACGTCATCGGCTGAATGCGCACGCACATTCAGCCGGTCGCATAGGAAAGCATTTACAATACTTTCCTATGGACGCTTGCGTGCTCTCACTGTGATTTTCACAGTGAGAAGCACGCAAGCGCCTCTAGCGGCTGTCAATGAGACAGCCACTAGAGGCTCTGAAGGCTGGATTAACCCTCAGTATAAACATAGCGCGGAACAGGAGTTTCTGTTTCCTGTACCCAGTCGGACTGACAGGAAGGTGCACACTGAGCATGCACCTTCCTATCACTCCGGCCGGCCACCGAGGACAGCAGAGCAGCTCGGCCACGCTACAGGGGAGGTGAGAACCAACTGCAGCCGCCTGACCGCTCTTGACAGAGCGCTCAGGCGGCTGCAGCATTTAAAGGGCCGGCGTATAACACGCACCCACAATTTCTCCCCTATTTTCAGGGAGAAAATGTGCGTGTTATACGCCGATAAATACGGTAAATGTTTCCTTTCTCCTTCAGAACACGAAGACTCTTGTAGAGAGAAATGCAGTCTCACACACTGCTTGTCCTTCTCCCTGTGAATCCCTGACAGGGAAGTTTTATAGCGGTCCTGTGCTAATAATTGCCAACAGGTGAGCAACTATCTGGGTGATCCAAAACTCCGGGACTGGATTGCTCACCTGCTGTGCTGTATGTAAACTGTGGAATGGAGCATTGGCCCTTCCTTCACTCCAAATGCTCCACCCCTGGAGCCCATATTAAATTGCAAAATTGCTCTGACAAAAACAGACAGACCTTCTTCCTGGGGCTATTAATTTACGTATTCAAATACTTTTGGAGAAATATACACTCTATTCTTAACAATGCCTTGCAATCTGTCACAATATATATATATATATATATATATATATATATATATATATATATATATATATATATATATTACATCGCCAATCTACTGGATTATGTAGAAAACCATGACAGATTGTGTAACCAAAGACCATGCTTCTGTCAGATAATTGTCATTCCTGCCCTACGTGTAATGTAAAACACAGTATTATTTTGTTAGTTTTTTTTTTTGGTTTGTTTTTTAATTGCTACAGTAATGTAGATTGCTTTATGTTTACACCACCATTTTATAAGTGTCATTAATGAAAAGGATATACGTTCTTGGTTACAGGTCCATACAGATGATGGTGTTTTTGAAAGAGGATTGAATGGCTTAGTACAGTTGAGCGCTGTTGTTGGACCATCTCTTAATATTCATCTTAAGAATCTACTCACAAGTGTAAGCATGATAATTTATTACAGTTTCTAACTTAATGTGGGAGCTCTGTGTAAGGTCATAATAAAGTTGGCCGGTTAATTTAAATCTATATTTATATATACCATGGTTGCCTAGCTGTGTCTTGTTAGCATATTTGTTGCTTCTGTTTGCTTTTGTAATTTTTTTAATACATTCGTCTTATATAATTAACCTTTCACCTTTACATCCGTGATACATTTATTTAGGCAATGGGTAATGTCAGCTTCTTTTAAATCTTTTGATCAAGTAATAATGAGAAGTATTTTCTGTCTCAGAGGTTAACATGGGACGTATATATACTTTTGTGTTATTTCTTGCAGTTCTCACTTTGTAATTTCTTCAAGTGCTAGAAATTGTCATTTGCCAGTGTAGATAAAAATAACACCAAATTGGTATTAGTAGGTCTATTCCAGTGCCATGGTGTTAGAACCACATCAAGGAATGGCTCTGCTAGTTCCTATGCCAGCTCTCATACATTCACTTTGTGACATGCCGCTGCGGTAGTTCTGATGCACTATCCTGCTGATGTGTGCACATAATTATGTTGTGGAATTATGTACAATTATATTTCTGCACCTTTCTACACATCAGGAGGCAGCCATAGAAAAGAGGGTGGCCAATGACCTATATAACAATCACACTAGGGCCAAAATGGGAGGTTTGCAGTTTATAATGGTGCAGAGGAGTGCCTTCTTGCCACTTTCCTCTAAGGGAGTAAAGCTCACTCCTTGACTGACTGTGTACTCCTGGTAAGAGGCTTCGTGTAATGACATATGTACTTTAGAAAAAAGAGAAGGTAATAGGCGCTCACTATAGAAATAAGTGAAATAAGCAGCAGTATACAGAACAAGGATTCCCAAAACCTTGTGGAATAGATAAAATGAAAGAAGAAAATGTAAACCGCGCTTTTAAAAATGTAAATGATACATACATATACTTGTAGGTAATTCCAATAGGTATGAAATCTCGGAATAAATAAAATAAAAGAAATAGTAGTGCAATACAGTAACAATAAATATTATGAGATGGTGATTGTAGCTTGTAATTCAGTCCACTCACATTTATATGAGCTATAACAGAGCTCGTCTGTAGTGCGCTTGGACGGTATAATCCCCGTCTTAGGATAAGATGTTCCAATTGGTCCAGATATTTCGAAGTGCAGTATGCGTAATAAAAACAAAAATAGCAGCCAATAGTGAAGTAAGTACTATTAATAAAATTAATAAAAATATGGTAATGTACTTACAATTTTCTGAGCATGTAACTTGCTCTAGTATAAACAGCTTAGGTGGTATAATCCCCACCAAGGATATGCAGAATCCAGGAAGTAAATAATGAATATAAAAGTATCAAATTAAAAGTATATTTTAATATAAAACAAAACATAATATCAACATAAAATATATTAAGGAAAGTCAACTTAACGCGTTTCGCCTGGTAGGCTTCTTCAGAAGTGTAGTAGGAGCTTCCTCTGGGTTCCGTTTTTTCGAAAATACTTCCTGGTGTGCTTCTTCCGGTTTCCTGGTTCCCTGTGGAACGCACGCGTCATACCGGAAGTGACATGGAATACGTGTCTTACCGGAAATGACGCAGCGTCATGTATTTGATGCTGTGTTGATCTTGTGCCACTCGTGGAACGCACGTACCGCTCAGAAAGCGTGCGTTGCGTTCCAGGCGCTTACACAGAGTATACAGGCCCCTAAGTGATGGGCATGCCTATTTAGTAAAAATAGCATGATGGCCATGTTAAGTATGGGCATAAAAGGAAAAGAATAAGTAAAGGACATTTGTCATTTGATTACCAAATTATTTAAACAGATATTTTAGAAACAATATAGATAAATATAGAAGAACAATATGTACAAAAAAGAGCAAATATATAAAGAAATAATAGAAGGGTAAAAAGATAATGCTCACAGATAATGGTGGGTATTTTAAACATAAAAATGTAAAAATTTCTAATATATAGTAATACCATATAATAATAAAAAAAGGCATAATGAAAATATGAACGCAAATACTCTTATTGTGTTCAAAGATAATATAAACCAATGAATATTGACATGATTATTAACTTTAAATATAATATTGATATAATCGTATGAAGAGGAGTAGTTGTAAAAAAAATTGTTTAAAAAAATAATACATAACACTGTATAAAAAAAGGGGCAAATATGGATAAAGAGACTTGTGGACTGTAAAATATATATATATATATATATATATATATATATATATATATATATATATATATATATATATATAATAAAAAAAGTATATATAAATAAAAAAAAGTATATAAAAAAAAAAGATTTTTATTTTTATTTTATAAAAAATTGTATAAATCAAAATCCACATTGAGTCCATTTGGGTGTAAAGTGTCTAACTGATATACCCACTGCATTTCTGTTCTTCCAATCTTTTTCACAACGTCTCCTCCTCTCCAGTGGTTTCTTACAATAGCAATCCCAGTGAATGAGAGGGGCTTAGGATCATTATTGTGCACGCAGAAGTGAACTGGTACAGAGTGGTTATTTAGACCTTTCTCTATATTTCTGCAGTGTTCTGCTATTCTTGTTTTTAATGGTCTAATGGTCCTACCTACATATTGTAGGCCGCACAGGCATTCCAGTAGGTATATTAAATTGTTACTGTTGCATGTAATAACATCCTTAATATTGTATACTTTACCAGTAATATTATTTTTAAAATTTGTAATATCTCTTCTAATTGTTTTTGTTTTTTTACACGCCATACAACAATTGCATTTGTAGAAACCTTTTTTATCCATAAAATTATTAATTGCATTGGAGCTCGTCTTCGTATAGTTTTTAGTTGGTGCATCTTAAGATTTGGTGCACCTCTAAATATTATCTTGGGTTTATCAGGAATTAATGTTTTTAAAATATCGTCTTCTTTTAATAAGTGCCAGTGTTTTTTTTATAAAAAGTTATTTAATTGTTTATTTTTATTATTATAATCTAACACAATTGGCAAAATGAAATCTGAATGTGTTGATTTTGATTGGATTTTATCTTTCTGTATAAGTTGATTCCTGTTTAATCTAGCTGTTTCATTAATTGTAGTTTCATTTGTATTTTATTGTCTTTAATGTAAATATTCAGGTCGAGATAAGTGACCATGGTATTACTAAAATCTGCTGTTAGAAATATGCCTTCCTCATTACTATTTAAAAAAGAGATAAAATCTTTAGCTGAGCCAATAGACCCTTTCCAAACAAAAAGGAGGTCATCTATATAACGAGAATAGGACACCAGGCTATCCATCCAGCCATACCCCCTCCAGACAAAACGGTCCTCCCACTCTGCCATATATAGATTGGCATAGCTGGGTGCAAACCTGGTGCCCATAGCTGTGCCAGTTTTCTGTAAGTAAAAGTCATCTTTAAACCAAAAATAATTATGTCTTAAAATTAAATCTATACCCTCAATATTAAAATCTGCTTGTTCTTGAAATATAGATTTATCCCGTTCAAGGATAGATCTTATTGCATGACACCCTTTTTCATGCTGTATAATCGTGTACAGGGACTGCACATCACAAGTAATAAGTATATAATCTTCTCTCCAAATTATATTTTTCAATTTTTTAAGAAGGTCTATCGTATCTTTTAGATATGATTTTGTTTATCTTATATGTACTTTACAACGGATATTATTTGTGTTGCTAGAATGTGTTAGACTGTTGCTCTCTGCAATTGCCTATATAAAAATTAATTTAATCTACCTTTGTTTAATAGCTGTCGAAAAGATTAATGGACAAAAGATATAAGGAGCAGGTAACAACTGCTCTGCAGAAGCTGGAACAATATGGAGGCAAGGTAACAATGTTGACTTTGTTTACATGCTTTTATTTGCTAATTTTGTCTTTTTTTTTTTAATCGTGTTTATAGTTAAAGTAACACTTCTACCCCTATAATAATGTCAGTTCGTTGAAGTTGTTATGGGGACAATTGTGCCTGTCTTACCATCAGGGGTTAAAGTGTTTTCCAACTGTTTAACACTAAAGTTAGTCCCACACTCCCCTCTCTTTCTTCCTTGACCACAGCCCTTCAAAAATTGGGGGATGTAAAATAGTTTTTTCAACGTAGAGCCGCTAACTTGAGTTTTAAGGTTTTACCTCTACTGATGGCATGACACCCCATATATAATGAGATTGTAAGGTGTGTTATTAACCCGAACCCAGTTCTCACAGATTGGCAAACTGCTGTTGCAAAAGTTACAGTTCCGTATTCGCAGTGTGAAGTCTGTCCTGGTTTAATGGAATTCATTGGCTGAGCTTGTCAGCTGATGTTCTCTGGCAATGTATGCAATCAAGGTAAGGGCAAAATTCATAAAGCTATTGATAGAGTGTACCTTTCACAATAGCTATGTTTTGAACATATGGACAGTGCCAGAGGCATGCTGCCAACACAGCCACTAAAGCAGTCTGAAGTAGCCTTAGTGTTCGAGTGCTCCTTTAATGCTGTGAATTAAAAAAACATAAAGCATTGTTAATTACTTAATTTAAAATAATCCATCTCTGTGTATAAAAAGGAATACAAAATTTAAAATAATAAAAATAATATTCTAACAACAAATAGTATATTCTGTATAACAACTGCAAATGCACTTCACTGGCTAAGTGTGTATATGTATTGATTTCACAACATTGTAAGCATTCCAGTGCTGAAATATCTTATCAAATATATGTGTGTTTTTACAACTTCACTGCTTCAAGCACATATTTATCTCTCTGCAATATATAATCACCTATAATATGGATGGTAATAAAATGTATTCAAAGGATCACAGAAAAACACTCATAATATGTAAATGTAGCAAAGATCGATCTAATACATGAAATGCATGTACAGCTGCAACTGGTTACTGGGTTCCCTTTAATCTTTCTGGAATGTCCCCATTGATTGTGATGGACGATTTGAAGCGACCCTGGAGTCTATTAGAATTTCTACTGTATGTGTCCTTCCCCACAACGTGTCTTGACATATTAGTATTTGTGGATTTTAACACCTATAGCTTTCTACCAGGTTTCACAAAACAAACTAAATATTAGTATTCAATTTAGAAGAAATTTATGTTAAACTACCAATGTTAATTTCTCAAAGCTGAAATTATTATTATTATTATTGCCATTTATATAGCGCCAATAGATTCCCTAATGCTTTGCAATATTATGAGAGGGGGGATTTAACTATAAATAGGACTATTACAAGAAAACTTACAGGAACGTTAGGTTGAAGAGGACCCTGCTCAAACGATCTTACAGTCTATAGGATGGCCTGGAAAGGATTAATTGCAAAGATCTATGGCAAATCTTTGAGTCTGATGTTTCTGGCTGCCATTGTCCACTTCACACAGACCAACTAATTTTTCTGTTTTTTTAAATGAAATTTTATTTAGTTATTAATATAAATAAACAAATTGCAGCACGTGGCTTATGTTGGAATCTAACAGGTATATTCACTAATGTCAAATGGTAACTAAACAGCAGCCAGATGTTGTCTGGTGAAACCAGCTGAATCTCCAAATAATGTGTGATTTGGCTATTCACAAACAACTAAATTGCAGCTGAAATGGCTTTATTCCATTGTTCCAATTCACATACCACGGTTTTGCTCCTAAAACTGAAAGACTCCCTAATCTTATTTCACCCTAATGCTTCCCAAATCCTCCCTAACTCTATATGGTTTCCAAAACCTTGAATCCCCATTGAAGCCTGCTCTTATGTTAGCAGAATAATTTTGTTTAAGCAGAAAATGCAGTTGTAATGCGGTGCTATTTAGGTGAGCTTTTTTCAAATGAATCTCTGCAGCTATGAAATCCATTTGAAAAGAACAGGGATCGATTTGGTATTTGGTGAATACAATCAACCTCAGAGGAATTGTAATAATTAAATCAGTTGCATTTGCAAAATCAGTTTGGGATCTAGTGAAATTACCCTTTAGATGCACCCTGAAGAATAAAGTTTCAAAATATAAATGTGTTGGTGTAGAGGTGAGCTATGTAACGGATACACATGACTATGGATTTTTTTTTACCATGTCAGTAGGTCTATTGGTATAGGCAGCCTTCAATGTCACGTTTAGTGATATACTATTAGTTGTTACATCCTGGCATACTCTGATAATCGTGTTTTCCTCTTCCTAGTGTGCTCTGTAAGACTGCCACTTCCACTTCCTTATCATATATGTACCATTTAATCCAGGGCTGTCCAACCTGCGGCCCCCCAGATGTTGCTGAACTACAACTCCCATGATTCTTTCAATTCAACAGATAGCCAGGGAATCATGGGAGTTGTAGTTCAGCAACATCTGGGGGGCCGCAGGTTTGACAGCCCTGATTTAATTGCTTTAGTGGAATGACTGGCAAATGTATAGATTTGTATGTAAAATAAAATTAAACAAAATATGTATCAGTCGGCTAATTCCAGTCAGACACTACAGATAGAAAGATTAAAAGGCCAATAGATTAATTACAAAAATAAAAGATAAAGGAGAGCTATTGCAAGCACCAGATAAGTGGCAATGTTTCCTTCAAATATTATCAAACTTTATATAATTTAACTACTAATATATTTAATCCTTTAGTGGACAATTACTTTAAAGAATGTAATCAAAATGAGATGCTAAATTCTCCAATAAAAGTAGAAGAGGTAACAAGAGCTATAGACAAATTAAAACAAAGAAAAACACCAGATCCAAACAACTTTATCAATATTTTTTTTTTTTTTTTTGACTCTTAAAAGAAAATTATTAGTACTGAGCTGGCAAAAACCTTTAACGCGATCAAACAGAAGGATAAGGCCCCTGATGAGCTAATGATGGCAACCATCATTCCTATCCCCAAACAAAGATGAACAATTGCACAAGAATTTACAATCCAACAATTAACGCCACAGCAGCGACAATGCAAACATAAAATACAAAAATACGAGTTGCATGGCGTTTCGATGTACTGCACATTTTTTGTTTTAAGATAAGTATAGAAGCAGGCTAAGCATACATGTAAATATCTGAGATGGCAGGAGTAAGGGAGTATGCAAGAGTAGGTTAACTTGCTTGCAAAATTCAATATTATAAAATAAATTATAGAGTATGAAGTAAGCTGGGTGTAAAATAAAGAACATAACTGGTAAAATTACAGGATAACATGCTACTGAAACATGAAAATTAACAATTAACGCCACTGATTGATCAACTACAGGACCACAAGGGTAGAGTGACAATCTGGCGTCCGCCCTTCACATAGGAGATCATAAGCACGAGGCTGGGATTAGCCGTTCCCCATAGATGGTACGGTTGAGGCGTTAGTAGGAAAGTCCCCTGATGTATTTGCAAAACTATACCAGAAGTGAGCACTCCCCCGTGTACGTGCCCGCACATAGATTGGCCACACGACTCCTCAGACTCGGCAGCTATCGCGTACCAATCATTTCCTTTTTGGGGGTAGATGGAGGTGCTGGTTTTGGTTTGCGGCTTTCTATTCACTCTCCTCCCCATCCATGGGCGTTTCGATGAGGTGATGCCTCCGCAATATCTCTATCCAAACAGGCGAGGAGGTAGCAGAGTAGCTGTTTGCTGCTTTGCTTTCCCTCCTTCCGCAAATTCCCCTTCACTGTACCCTCAAAGCGTTATATTGGTAGCCTTGCTACGCTTTTGTAGCTGTGTCCAGAAGCGCTAAAATGTTACCTTCAGGCATTGTAGGCATAAATCAATGGGGGCGCAGTGATCTGCTGGAGGTAGGCCCAATGCTTGCTTGCTTGCTTTAGAAGGGTGCATCAGACATTTACTTCCCTCAGTGTATTCTAGTATCGACTAGGACTGATAAGTGTGTTTGCTGAAGCTATTGGTAGCAGGCCAGTGGAGACCGTGATAACCCCCACCGGTCCAAAGTAGGGGGATGGGTGGGTGTAGGAGACCAACAGAGTCACACAAGTAGGCCGCTGTGTAGTCCTCCCGGCCGCGACAGACTCTAGTGAGGTATCAATCTATTCCACTGTGTACCCCTGACATGGTTAGTGCACCCTGATAAGTATTTTGGCTGGTGAGCCGCTGATAGTACCCCGAAATTCACAAGTTAGATGGGAGCTTGTGCTGCCCACGTCTGCACTGCTCGAAGGTGAGGTTCCGCCCCCATTTTAGACCTATTTTATTAATACAGACATTTAAAATCTAATCATTGCTTCTGGCTGAAAGGATAACATTGGTAGTGTGACGGACCGCCTGGCACCCCAACTGGGTGCCTCCGCCAATCGCTGCTTCCTTGTACCTCCGAGTACTTTCAAGCACTCCACCAGACACCATAATCACCGTAGTCCCCACAGCCAGTGTTACAGCTTGGTTCGGGTCTCGCTGTCATCCATCCACCCTGGACCCAACACAGGGATCCAGCTTCCAGTTGGTAGACCTCTCCTAGCCCATCTAGTGTAGCAGGATAGCTCTTACAAGAGCTAGTGATTATAACCCAAAGAGTATAGTGATTATAGCAATCCCCAGCGTAAATATACCTGTCCCCTCCACACATGAGACGAGGCTCTATGTTGAGTGTGAAGAGGAACTATTTAATGGCAGCCACAACTGGTCTTCTATGCAGGTCCCTATGCAAGTGGTTTCCGGTTACATATTCCAGGGGCATTCCCCCTGGATCTGAGAGAGGAGACTACAGTAAAACATAATTACATTGGCTCTCAGGTCCAGGACACTCCCTGTAGTTTTGTTGCAGAGACTTCTGTCCCATCTGCACCTTCTATTTCCAGTTTCCTGTCTTGGGCTAACAGGCACCGCTGCTGGGGAGTGGGACCGGTCATCTCCACTCCCAGGAGTTTCCACTGTGGCTGGGGAAATGGATCAGCTTTCTCCTCTTCTGGTATCTCTGGCTGCCGCAGGGGAGGGGGACCGACCCGCTCCCTGTATGGTATGCTGCCGCTGAGGAGTAGGACCGACCGTCCTCCCTCCTGGCACTTCCAGCTGGGGTTGGGGATCTGGGCCGGCAGCCCAGCATCCCTGTAGAGCCGGTGGAGAGACCTCTGTCCCATCTCCACCTGCCGACTGGTGTTCTTCCCATGACCAGTTTATAAGGTCCCCCTGTAATTGGGAAGAGGCCCCAGCTGTCTCCTCTTCCAGTATCTCTGGCTGTGGTTGGGGATCTGGGCTGGCTGCCCAACATCCCTGTGAGGCCGGTGGAAAGACCTCAATCCCATCTCCACCTGCCGATTGGGGTTCTTCCCAGGACCAGCCTGGAGTCCCCTACTTCTCTGTGTCGTCTGGTTACTGGGAGGGGAAAGGGCTATTCTTTCATCACTGTTCCAGTGTTCTTGTAAGGACTAGAGCTCCCAGGACTGAGTGTCGTAAAGTGCCTGGGGGTGTCTAGAGCGAATTCCCCATTCGGTTCCAGTACCCCAGTCAAGCCACGGCAACTCACGGCAACTCTGGGCAGTAGAGCTGCGGTTTGTCCCCTGTTCAAGCTAGGAAGCCGTCCTTGGCGCAGTTACCCAGCCAGGGGTACAGAGAGCTCCGTTACAGGTAGTTCATACTATGAATACTGAGAATAGAGTAGGTTTTATTCCCTTCAGATCTTCAATTTATCATATGAGAGGATTTATAGATGCCAAAAAGACCTTGATAGGCTGGGATGGGATTTTATGCTTTAAATCTTTAGAAAATGAAGGGTTATGAGAGGGAATGATAAATGCAAGCCGGGCCTTAACTGTAAACCCAGCTGATAAAGTCAAAGGTCATAGTTAGATAGTTTTCTGATAAAAAAAATAATGCACACAACAGGGATGTCCGCTTTCACCACTTCTATATATCCTTTCTTTGGTACTCCTAGCAATAAGAATTAGGGCAAACCTACAGATTAAAGGATTTCATACAGTCAACAGTGTAAGCAAGTTATATCTATATACGGATGATATTTTGCAGACCCTGAAACCTCTCTAAAAGCACTAATCACCGAACTAGAGATTTACTCTAAATTTTTAGGCTATAAAATTAATCTGGATAATTCTTACCAAAAACCGTACATGCCAATTTTATAGATGAATGTACTAAAAAAATATGGCTTGATCTAGGCTCAACATTCTTTTAAGTATTTGGGAATTAATTACACCTTCTTTAGACTCTCTTCAAGAAAACTATTACAACAAACTTATAAAAATCTAGTTATCTGGAAGAAATTAGGCTTTTTATGGTGGGGAATGGTAAATATGTTATGGGCATATATTCTACCCAGATGGACCTATGCTTTTTTAGACTAATCCCCTTAATGTGTCTAGAGAAGTGGCTCAAGCTATTACACTCCATTTTTTTTATTTATTTTTTTAAATACATATGGTCAGGGGAAAAAAAGTGTATAAAATGGAGATTAAAGGAACACTATATGGTCAGGAACACAAACATGATTTCCTTACCCCAATAGTGTTAAAAACACCATCTTGCCCCCCTAAATATAGTAAAATCTTGTTCCAGTCTGCTGCTGCTATCTCTGCTCCTGATCTGTCTGCATGGCTGACATTATCAGAAGTGTTGATAAAAGCCAACCACAATGCTTTACCATAGGAAAGCATTGTATTGGTTAAGATTAATAAGGAGGCAGATCAGGGGCAGAGCCAACACAGCACTGGCCAATCAGCATCTCCTCATAGAAATTAATTGAATCAATGCATCTCTATGAGGAAAGGTCAGTGTCTCCATGCAGAGGGTAGAGATACTGAACATTGTGCAGCTCTGCCCCAGGAAGCACCACTAGCAGCCATCTGAGGAGTGGCCAGTGGAGGTATCCCTAAGCCTAGGCTGTAATGCAAACACTGCATTTTCTCTGAAAATACTGCGTTTGCTGCAAAAAGGCTGAAGGAAATGATTTTTTTCTCCAGAACAAATACAATAAGCTGTAGTTGTTCTGGTGACTATAGTGTCCCTTTAATAGTTTTAAATACAAAACAAGGTGGCATGGGAAAGCTTGATATTTTTAAATATTACACAGCAAGCAGACTCATGCATGCTTTGATTTCACAGAAATCTTGTTCAGAAAATGAAAAATGGTACCTAATTGAATACGGCTTGTCAATGATTAAAAATATATCGTCTCTGTTTTGGCTGTAGGGGGCCACATAGACATCAACAGGAAACATCTTAAGATATAAAATCTTTAAGAGACATACAATTAGAGGAGTGGAAGAATATAAAAAAACAAACAAACAAACCAAAACTCAATTTATAAACAAATTGTTGGGTTTTCTTCCTTTGAAGAATCTAGAAATTACTATGGACAATATTAATTTGAGTAACTGATATAACAGTGGGATCTACAAGGGATATCATTAAACAGGGTAAAAATTTACTAGGGAAAAAAAATATTCAAATCAACTCACCTTTTTTCCCAGCACCAAGACGGTCTCCACTCTCAATTCTCTGACTTTGAGTTCACAAATTCCGATGATATCTGTTAAATCCCGTGCGTCTAATTGAGAAGCATTTGGGAGTAATGGGCACATGCTTGACCACAACTATTGTCTTGTGCTTTTCTATGATATGTCTTGCTTCCATTTTGAATGATAGTTCAAAGTTGGTGCATCAAGAAACCCTCCAAGTTGGAAACTGTATGTTTTATAGCCTAAGCCTGAAGGGACATGCAGCTAAGCCATAACACACTTTAACAAGATAAAGTTATTTTGGAAACTTGAGTGTCCCTTTAAAGGGACAGTTTAAACTCCAGAACCACTACAACTAATTGCAGTGGTTATGGTGCCATACACCTATACACTGTCTCCAAGTTTATCAAACCATCTTGGTGTGATTTGTCAAAAGGTATGGCTTTCTCAGGAACCATAGTCCATTACTTATTTAGATATAATGATAATGCATTATCAAGTTCAAATCTGTATAACCTGGACCTCAGTGATAGACTGTAGCACTGGAATGGCTTAGCAGACACTTCTCAAGTTACTTTGTATGCATTACTTATCTTATCTTCTTTTAAATGTATGCTTCTTGACAGTTATTGAGCAAAACTGATGTGACCTGGTGTATGTTATATGGATTCCAGTTTATGAAGTTAGCTCTTGTATGTTTACTTATCATAAATGTTTATCTCTTAACATGCATTTGTTTTGTGTAAGATGATTGTTTAGAGTATACATTATGAGCCTTAGTATTTTTTCTCCATTTTTTTTTTCCTTTTCATAGGAAAGTCTTGGAATAATTAAATCGAAAATACCAACTTACAGTTCCATCTGCAGCTGAAGAAGTACATGCTTTTGTACACGTGGATTAATGATGGCAGCCATGATTGTTTTGTGTGTGGGCTCTAATTACTACAATTACATAGCTTGTAAATGTATTAAACTTTCATACCGTCCAAAGTGTACATGTTTTGCGCCATGTGTTTGCGTGATGTCAGGACTATAAGAGCATTGCAGAACTTTTGGCTTACAGCAGTTGGAGTGCTAAAGTTGTGTTTCCCTGTAAGGTTTGATGTTCCATGTCTAGGTAATCTTTGTCAGATGTAAGCATCTTTCTGTGACATCACTCTCTGCACAGGTCACACAGGTCGCTACTGATACAGTATTTTTTTAACGTGTCAACAACCTGAAATTAGGGTTAACATCTCATTGTCATCCTTTAAATGTATTCTCTTCTGGGTGAACATAACTCCAGTATTTGTGTTCTGTTTTGTCCAAAAGATGTTAAAAATAAATACTAGCAAAACTTTAAAAATAAAATTAACAAACTGTCAATGTCAGCATCACTATTGTCACTTTAATAAAGCATTTGCCACTTCTAAATAAGTTACTAATGTAGCTTACTTGATAATACGATAATAATAGTAACTCACTAGGAGAGCACTAACGGCTGGTTCGATTAAATTAAGTTTTTATTTGTCCTTTTCAGTATAGGATTAAAGCGAGTTTATGATAATTTTAATTGTTGAAACCTTTTTTCAATCTTTAGTATATTTGTTGTAATGTATGTTAGATCTGTAATACATGCAATCCATATTTTAATAATCATTATACAATTAAATTAGATCCTTTGAGTGCTAAAGCTTGCTGTTCAACAAATTTGGAAATGTCTTGTTTAATATCAAATAGAAATTTGACGTTTTGTGCTTAAAACAGTATATCCAAATGTATTTTTAGATTTTGCCATTGAATTGTGTAAATGCAAACAAGTTAATTATAAGCACTTTTACAAGAAAAAATTAGACTAAACTGATGACACTTATTGCCTTTGATAGTATTGAATTGAGCTATTTTGTACACTAGCAGATGCAAGCGGCTTTGTTTCGTACATTGTGCAGTATTGGTATAATGTATCTCTGTCAATCTACTTATTATTATTTTTATTTTTTTAACCTTTCTTCAACCTCCTTTCCAACGGGTGCCAATACCCTTAGTGACAGCTAACATACCCTAGGAGCCAATCACTGTAATGACTTGCCTTATTTGACAATCTGCTAAACTGTGCAAGCTTGTTAGAATTCATGTAGGATTAGGGTCAGTACAATTGAGAAATTTTGTTACTCTGTTGCTGGTGCTGTCTATTTTCTAGAAATCTAAGGGATGTGAAAAGAGCACCTAATCTGTCAGCCAGAATTAGGTGCATAAAAATCATCTGCTGGTCTTTTAATTGTTTTGTCGCTAAATAATCTATTTCACACAATGCTTCTTACTGGCAGTATTTTATTGTAGTTCAATTTCTCTATTTTGTCCCATCTTTCATAAACCTGTATTTTCCCACTCTGCAATATTTATTTTACTAACAAAGAAATTAAAACAGTTAAAGTATAAATATGTAACTAAAATAAAAAATCAAATACACAAAGAATCGAACTTGCACCTTAACAGACCTTAAAAGGTCATGGAGCAAGCAGTCTCTATGTGCAGCGTTCAGCTTCAAATGCTGTACATACCGAGAAATCAGCAATTTTGTGCCAAGGCTAATTGCACGCCAAACACACTTGACTTGGGCAGCCCAAAACTCTGTTCCAGGCTGCCCAATGTCAAATCTGTGCATAAAAACAGTCTGCCACAGACGTAATAAGCATTGACAGCCCGCCTGCAATATGAAGACTTTTGACCTGAACACACCGTTATCGTGCATACTTTTGGTGCTGGAATCTCCAAGCCCTCTCTCCATCCCTTACTTGGAATGCATCCTCCCTCATGTCTACGGTCCACCAATCACGTTTTAACTTCCTCCCACTGTCTCTTCCATTATCCCTTCCTTCCACCATTGTCCCTGCATCCCTTGGCTCTGAACAGAGCACACTTTTCTCTGAGTCTGTAACATAAGATCTCTCAGACTACCTTATAATGATGCATATCTAGAGATGGAATTGAGAAATAGATACTTATAGAAATAGATAGAGATAAATATGTAGATAGAGATAGCCATAGATCATTAAAAATAAATATAGATATAGAAGTATCAATATAGCAATAAATATAGAAGAATAGATAAAGATCACAAAGGATAAATATAGATAGAAATAGAAGGATGGATATAGAATTAGATATAATTGGATAGCTAGACAAAGAAGGTGGGATATAGAATTAGATTTTTTTTTTTTAAATAGATATAGATAGAATTAGCTACATTGAGATAGTTAAGCCAAAATATATCAAAAAGAGGAAAAAAGCACACTGCAGTCTGAGTGAATAGGACAAAATGCTTGGAGCTAAGATTTCCACAAGATGACCAGCTGTTGGAGTGCAACCAGCCATACACATTGGGACTTTGAACTCTGGCTGTAAAAGATACGGTAGTCCTCCATCTGAAGTGGTGGGATTGAGACCCCAGTGACAATGTTGATTTGCACATTTCTCGGTATATAATGCTATTTATTTTGTGACTGTTTTCAACTGTTTTATTCATTTCTGATTACATTTATCTTCTTCACTATGATTACTTTTCTTATCTACTTTTATGTATGAGAATATCTAATTCCAGTGGATCGTTCCGTAAGTGAAATCCTCCTACCAGAGTTGTAACTGAAATTTATTGAAACTAGTGTTGTGGTACCCTCTACTGCACGTAGGATCTTCTATATGTACTTTTGTTGTATTTGTATTTTAAGGATTGGGGAGTCATCCTTTCATAGTGGCTGCCTTCATTGTGTTCTCACCTGACCTGTCAAAAGCCTCTTTGATTTTATTTATTTTTTGCAATAATTGAGATCTGACCGTGAAATAGCTCCACGAACAAGGTTCTTTACTAAACAGGGATTTTAAGGTGGATTCAGCATGAAATCAATTTTAAGGCCAGATTAGCTGAACTGAAAGCATATCTAATTTAGAGTTTTTATTCATGTTGCCTATTTTCACCTTCAATGTTAAATACACAGAGAATACTCCCTTTTGATAAATAACTATTTGTGTTTTCGAAGATCAAATGAAAGTCTCACAATATTAAAATATCTCTTAAACAATCCCTGTATACCTTAATCCAAGTAATACATTTCTACAATATTGATCACAGTGTGAGCCTAATATTTATTTTAGGGTATCTTTTTGTATCATTTTTTCTAATTAACTCAAAATGTATTGGGGGAAAAAAAAAATCATTTATCTTCCTCCTCAATCATTTGCCGTATCTAGAGGAATGCACCAAAGAACACGTAAATCAGAACATAGGAAAGATATTTTTATTGTAATCAGCTGCTATGGCTTACAGTACATACACACACCAGAACATTGGCTGATGTTCATCATATTATTTTCAATATGAACATTAATTTCTGTGGGCGGAACAGATATTGTTCATAATATTGAAGTTTTAGACCTGTCAGAACCTATCATACCATTTCAGACTGTCGTAACCTAAAAAAAATGCCTTTTACTAATTTGTTACTTTTGTAATTTGTGGAATGGCTATTCCAAATGCAATTAATATACACTGTTATTCTACGAACATCATTCAGAAAGATTTTGTATTCTCTGTACACTGTGCTAATTTAATAAACTATCCGTAAAAATTATAAAGTATGCCATTTCTAACACAGTCATACTATTGTTACCATTTACGTTTATAGGAAAGTAATTTGGAATTAAGGTATAAAAATTTATTTGAGAAGGTCTGATAATTTCATAATGACTTGACTGTTAAGCAGTGTTCCTCAACCCTCTCTTCAAAGCGTACCTAACAGTGCAGGATTTAGGGATTAAAAAACAAAACAAAAACACCTTAGACCAGAGGTTCCCAACCCAGTCCTCAAGTGCCCCCTAACAGTCCAAGATTTAGGGATTACCCTCTTCTGTCTAAAGTGTTTTTTGTTTTGTTTTTCAAAAAACACCTTAGACACAATTGAGTAATCCTTAAATCCTGGACTGTTAGGTGTGCATTGGGGAGAGGGTTGAGGAGCACTGCTATAAAGGAAAGAATGTTAACTTGTTGACAACATGGACAACGTATTGAACTGGTAATCTGTAGTGAAATAGAAAATATTTACATTAATATCATTGTAACATGCTGCCAGCATATAGCTTCATATACAACTTAAAACATATACTCTGTAAACTACCTATCCCAAAACTGAAAATTAGCTAGATTGTAATCGAATTGTTATCCACTTGATTGCAAATTCAAAATATCAACCTGTGGTGAATACACACTTTATGAAATGTATATGAAAATGCCATGTTACTTTCCATACAGTACTTCTTCAAAATGTCTAAACCTCTTGATTCCTGGGCTCAGGCTCTTTGATACTTGCTCTCCCTTACTCCTAAGTAATCATCCATATTTTGTGACTCTAGTTATTGATGTTATTTATGCAGAATATGTAGTTACGGGTCATTTATTTGAGTCATGTAAAGATTTGCTTTAAAAATTCAGTTTTGTAAAACTACAACTCCCAAGAAGCTTTGTCAGCTGTCATTCTATCGAAGAACTAATTCTACAGTAAAAGTTTGGCTAAACACTTGCTGTTGCTCTATTCTTAGTGTTTTGTTTTAATTGACACTTAATTCCATATGTATAAAGCGTAAAATCAAGTTTAACAAACCTGAATAATTGAAATTTGTTTTGCTGGTTTTTAACCTAAAAAAATAATGTTCCATGGATTTTTTTTTTTTTTTAGGGCAAGTGATGTGTGGTATTTGGCATTGTCAGGACACCAATTCACGCACCATATGCCCAATCCATATTAGCATCAGTTATTGTATTGACATATATATTACACATTGTACAAACTTTATGCTGCAGTCTACTGCCGGTTATACCTAGGTTACTTTGCCAGATGTTTACCCACCACACTGTGGTCATTTCTTCCCTGGGTGTTTGTAGGTATAGCTAATTTGGCATATGTGTGCAAATAGCAGAGGCATCTACCATGGAGCTATTTTGATTTCCAGACACGTCAGCAGACTGAGTGGCACCTGGAGCAATGGAAGGGTAGGTGTAATAGTGGTGGTCAAGGATATTTGTCAAAATGTGTCCCCATTTTATAGAGAAGTTGCTTAATTACAATAAGAATGTAGCTTGTTCAAGATTTGATCATCTGTCTCAAATCAAATCTTTACATGGCTCTTATTCTCATCATTCACTTTATATATTTCCTGAGTTTCTCTAATGAATTGTGGTTCTTTATTCTAAGACAATAATGTTAACTCTATTTAGTGGGGTTTAATCACAGTGACCTTCATGGTACTAAAGTGTTATAATCACTAAACATAGATAAGGTCATAAACTTGCTAGTTCTATTAGTCTTGGGGCAGAGATCAGTGGAGGCCAAAGTAATGCCACTTTTTATAGGTAAGAAAAGCTAGGTGATGCCTTGGTTACCACCATATCTTAGATGTTTGTTTCTGCTGGATCTGCAGGTTTTCAGTATGGATCAGATTGTTTAAATGAAGTGGACAAGGTGAATACTTACAGTGTTCAGTGTGTTATTTAACACGTTAACAATAAAGAGAGAAACAAAGAAAATCTGTGTGTAGTATTTTTTTTTTTTATTTTTTTTTTTATATATAAATGCTCATGCTGTGCAATGGACATATGAAAATCTCAGATTTTCCAAAAGCCTTTTTAATTTTGTATTTGTTGCACTAGCACTTTATATAATTTTACACTGTTTCAAAAGTGTTTCGGCACAATTAGTTCACTCATTCCATGTGGACAGCTGGCTCTCAGAACAGCTTCTTGTTGGTACTTTGATGGGACCTCTAGTTTTCTCTGAAGCAGGGGTTGGCAACCTTTGGCACTCCAGATGTTGTGGACTACACCTCCCCTGATACCTTGCCAGCATTATGGCTGTAAGACTTTAATGGGAGATGTAGTCCACAACATCTGGAGTGCTGAAGGTTTGATACCCCTGCATGCTCTAAGTCAGTGGTTCCCAAACCAGTCCTCTTGGCCCACCAACAGTCCAGGATTTAAAGGTATTTCCCTTTTTTATTCCAACGGACATACTGACAAAACCCAGACTGTTGGTGGGCCATGAGGACTGGTTTGGGAACCACTTCTCTAAGTTGTTACTATCCAAACTCCAAATGGTATGGGCTCTCACAAATGACAAGTTCAAATTAATGTCGGAATTAATATGGGACAGCAATGCCTGCACTGAGGCAGTAAACTATCTGTGCGTATAGAGAGGTGGGTCCATAACACATAAAGGGGAGCATATTCCTACAACATAGTGTAATAAGATTAGCTCACATTTTGAGTGATGTCAAAATATGCAATATAGGGTTTAACATCACGTCAGGCATGTTTCTTAAATCAAATCATGCTGATTAATAAAATATGCTTTAAACATGCAAAAAACATTGGAATTGCAGTCTAGTATTTAAAATGAAAATGTACCCTTAGATACATTGGGCTTAAATACTCTCCTATCATAATTTTTCATATACAAGTTATATAACTAAGAAAATACATACATTTTTGATCTTCATCTCTGTTCTAATAAGATACTTTGCCATCAAACTTACTGCAGAACACTGGATGGACAAGAATTAATTTGTATTTTTATAGGACTATTTATACCTGTGGTTATGTTAAATGTTTCAGTTACCTGATCTCTGAAGCTGTAAAAGATAACTACTGTTTATACAATTCACAGTATTCAAATGAGTACAGATAGCGTTTACATTTTCAGATTTCTGTGTATCCTTTGGCAATAAATCAGTGTTTGCAGTAGCTTTTTGTGTGCATGGACGTACTAGAATCCGAATGAATCAAATAGAATCTAGGACAAGATTTTAGAATTTTGACAACATATTAATAACATATAGCTGTAGGCTCTTTGAAAGTTTTTAAGTTGGAATCATGCTGACAAGTGCAGAGACCAAAGCTGCTCAAGTCTTTAGTCCAACATTGATTCATTCAGATTGAAACCCATGCAAGGATATACAAAGGTGATTAATAAAACAGCAAGCACTGCAAGAGAATCTCAATGGAACAGTGTTTCTGCTTATCTGCATAATTTGCATTAGAGAGCAGAAGAAACATGACCTTTCCAGGCTATATCTTCAGGATTTTATTTCCATAATATCCTATCTGATATTTAGCTGTGTCATATACACACACACACACAGACCTCTACTATATGTAATAAAAGTAAAGTATTGCCATCTGCATCAAACATAGATGAAATCGTTATTCGTAGGAATCAAGGTATCTTTATGAGTTTATTGATTCATGGCTCATATTGCTAGGAGATAATTCCTAGAAATATGAATGTTAAATGTGAATGTGATTCTAAAAGTGAAGTCAATTATTGAGTAAATCTGTTTTTGATGACTATGTATGAATGATATATATTCCAAACCACAGGGTTATCAAAGTAACACTCGATTATAAGGACACAGTATATGTTAATTAGGTTTTATTCTAATTATTAAGGCTTTTTTTTTCTCCGTGTGGAGATGGCTAGATTACCCCCAATGATCAAATATATTTTTTGTTTTTCCTTATATATGTACATTAGTGATTTCCCGAACTGTTTGCGAATGGTTCGCTACGGACTCCAGTCAGCTGACACATTCCAGCCAATCAGCAGCAGACCCTCCCTCCCAGACCCTCCCACCTCCTGAACAGCATCCATTTTGAAGCTGCATTCTTAGTGAGCTGTCCAGGAAGTGGGAGGGTCTGCTGCTGATTGGCTGGAATGTGTCAGCTGACTGGAGTCCGCACGAACCGTTCGCGGCGAACAGTTCAGCGAACAGTTCGGGACATCACTAATGTACATTATTAGGGCATCAATTAACAAAGAGGTTTGATTGTTACATACATTATGGTATCTCTTTTTTCTTTGAGAAGTATTTATAATTATTATTATTTTGTATGTTAAGTTCACCTGCAAAATATCTGATAACTATGAAAATTGTTTCTCTAGTCAAGATTAATTTCATAGTATAAGAAGCGAATCTTACTATGACACTTATTCATTGTGTTTGCTAATCCTCAGGTTTGGATGTAAATACATCTATGGTTGGCCACATTTCTGCCTAATTGTGAGCTCTAGGTTGAGATTTTCTAGGCAAATACAGGTGCTATTAAGAGGAAAGAGCTAAATTAAGAGTAATCACTGTGGAAACCAATAGGATGTCTCTCAACATTTAGCACTTTGCATTTAAAATGTCACCTGTTTTGCCTTGATATATGTCCCTCTTAAAGGAGCACTATAGTGCCAGGAAAACTAGTTTGTTTTCCTGGCACTATAGGGTTATTAGGTCCCCCCTCCCACTGGGCTGAAGGGGTTAAAACCCTTTCAGCCACTTACCTTAATCCAGCGCTGCTCTCCCCTGGCACTGGTGACCTCTCCTCACCCTGCCGACGTCAGCTCAGAATGCGCGGGCAGAGCCCTGTGCGCATTCAAACCAGCCATAGGAAAGCATTACTCAATCACGGAAACGGCCTCTAGTGGCTGTCAGGGAGACAGCCACTAGAGAATGGATTAACCCTCAATGTAAACATAGCAGTGTCTCTGAAACTGCTATGTTTACAGCTGCAAGGTTAAAACTAGGGGGACCTGGCACCCAGACCACCTTATTAAACTGAAGTGGTCTGGGTGCCTATAGTGGTCCTTTAACTGTGATACTTAGAATATATATATTTAGATAGCTATCTTTTCATATAAAAGAGACTTATCTCGGCATCTGTCACTTTTGTGGTTCTATGCATATTTTGTGAGGACCCCTGAAGGTAACATATTCACTGGGTGTGTGACACTACTTAACTGAGGCCCACAGGTTCCTTAATAGACCATAGGGGTGCCCAAAAGGTAGATCCACAGATTTATTAAATCTACAGCTCCCATGATTCTTTGTCATTCGAAATGCATTTGTAGAGGCATCCAAAGCATCTTAGGAGTTGTAGTTCTACATCTGAGATCTATCTATTGAGCACCCCGATCTAGGGCAACACCAAAGAAGATAATTCCCATAGTCGTTGCTACCAACAGCCGTGAAACAGAGAAAACTTGATGGTGGAATCGCCTCAGGCTTGACTGCGCAGGGCCAGTACAAGACATTATGCTGCCTGGGTCCAAGGATGAAATGTCCCGTCCCCCCCACCACCCCATACTAAAACCACGCTCACCAAAACACACCCACATCCATTAATTTATGCAGTATGTGTTGTATGCAGTGTGTATTTATGTAGTGGAAACAGTGTTTGTAGTGGATGCAGTGTGTGTTAAGATAAGGCTAGAGACTAATGAAAGTATTTAGAAAATTGGGCAGACTAGATGGGCCGAATGGTTCTTATCTGCCGTCACATTCTATGTTTCTATGTGTTTCTGTAGTGAAAACTGTGTGTGTTGTGTAGTGGATGCAGTGTTTGCTTTGTGGAATGGATGCAGTGTCCGTTTGTGTAGTGGATGTAGTGTGTGTATTTGTGTACTGGATACTCAATGTAATGTATGTGTGTTTGTTGTGTGGGCAGGGAAGCAGTTTTTTTTATATGTTATACTGTTTATTCACCTCTTCCTGCCTCTTACCTGCAGGCAAGGAGGGGGGAAACGATATTCTTGGTCCGGTGGCACAGCAAATCGTCCTATGATGAGGAGTCCAAGAGCTAATTTTTTATACCCAACAGGATCAGCTTCTCTCCTCTCGTGAGGTGCTAGAGTGTTTCCGCGAGTTGCCATGGCAATGCTCCAGCATGCACTGCGTGGAGCGTTGCCAGAGGTGTATATGTTTGCATGTATATGTGAGTGCGAAGGTGTGTGCATGGAAAGTTGGGAACATGATTGTAAAAGTATGTGTATTTGGCACATATCACTCACACACACACACAATTATACTCACAAATACATATAACACCTTTAAAAATACACACCAAGCACACTCACAGTTACGCCCTCGGATACACACAAATACACCCTCAAAGGCTTACTGACAAAAACACCCTCAACACACACACACACACACACACACAATTACACCCTCTAACACACACACACACACATAGAGAATTGCACCCTTACACACATACCTCAAACATATACACACACACACACACAGACAATTACACCCTCAAACATACACACACACACACACACAATTACACCTTCAGACATACACACCCTAAGAATCAGTAAAATGAACATGAAATACCTGGGTGACACTGCCCACTGAGCCCACCTTGCTCTTTGAAATGACCTGTGCTCACTCCTGGCTGAAACTTCCAGCTTCCATCCAGCAGAAGGGGGAATCACAGTGAAAGCTGGATTAAAATAAAAGCAGGGAAGCTCTTCACCCCTCTTCCAGTCAGCAGCCTCCCTGCTCACCCCTCTCCCTGCCAGACAGCCTTTCACACACAGGAAGCACAACTTTGAAAGCCCCGTGTGGGCTGTTCCGCTGTGCCTGACTGCCAGGTCATGCTTCCTGTGTGCAGATAGGGAGCAGCACTACCTTCCTCCCAGCTTCTCCCCAGGCTCCTGCCTGCCACCTCCCTGTGTCTCACTGGCGAGCAGCATTGACAGCTCAATGGGCTTGCTGCTCGGGAGTGGAAACACAGTAAATTACTTAGAGGGGACCTTAGATATAAGTAAATAGGCGGTCCAGCTGATTTCCTAAAGTTACAGCAGCTGCAAAATGCTGCTCCTGTCAAAGTGCCGCCTGGAGCCATTGCCCCACCGGCACCATTGCATGGGCCGGCCCTGTGACTGCGTGACAAAGTAATAACTACTTTTTCTTATATTTTTTACTCTGTTGACATTTCAATTAAATTCCAACACTGTCAATACAAGTATTTCATAAAGCATATACGTTTCATGAAATATTCATACATTTTATTTTGGTTACAGAGGTGCTTTAAATGTATCAGAAATAGCATTGTGAAAGCTATCTATACCTTGTGTTGATAATTTTTCAATATGCTCAGCTGTTTTATATTAAAAAAGTAAAACGTTTCCATCGAATTGTGGGTATTTTGGGCACGAAGCATTGTCCAAGGCATCTTTCAAGGACTAATTTTTTGTTTCTCTGCAAATCACACCACCTAATTGGCTGCTGTCCACACATGCTCTTTGCCGCCATGTTTTTATCAGCCATTTTCCCTGAGGGTTCAAAATTGTGATGTACCTGTAAGATGGCCACCTCAACACTGAAACACTAACATATTTTCATGATAATCACAGCTAAAAAAGTACTGTAGCTTGTTTGTAATAAAATAATATTAATCTTTTTAGAATTCTTTTTTTAAACTGATGGAAAGAAATCCGTAGGTGCCAGTGTCACTTTCTAAGAAAGAAAAAATATATATATTAAGAAGTAACAAATGCAGTTCTTCATCTCTTCACATCCTTTGGTAAATCATACATTTAAACAGTGCTATTCAGCTAATTAACAAGGTGAGTGGCTGTGAGCAGGTATATATAACCTCTGTGAGCTGAGATACTGTGGACTACATCTCCCATGATGCTCTGTCAGCTAAACGGGGAGATGTAGAGGTTCTCTACGCTTGTTATTGAATTGCATTCCAATATTGCAAAATCACATCCTTCAATAATGGAACATTTACATGTAGATTGTCAGCCAAACTAAAGCTTTTGTTTACCACAGTGTTATAATATATTGTTCTTTCTCTTAATACTGTTAAAACTGCTCACCCCCTACCTCCCCTATATCGGGCAGATATATTTCATTATAACAGAATAAAACAGATAATACATATTCATCAATATTTTTAAATCTAAATTAAATAATAGATATAATAACTTGCTAAATAAATAAGCGTAACTGTTGGTAACAATGAGCATAAATAACACAGGCTTCTATCAAATGGATTTTAGCCTCCCATAAAAAAAATACTTAAATAAAATAATGATAAAATAAAAAAATAAATACAAGGCTTTGACATTACTAAATATTGTATGCATAAATATTAATAACCACTCTCTGTCATGAAAAAGTGCTTTTGGGAAGGCATGTTCAAAAAAGCAAGAAAAAAAAAGTTGTTTTGCATAATATATGATTTTGTATAAAGCTGAACAGTCTATTTATGGTAAGATGAAAATTACAGCTTCGAATCTTTGTCAAAAATAGATAAAAGGCCTGATCTTCGCATCGTTCATGTGCTAAATCACGTTTTCAAACAGTTGCATGGAGCACATTATATTTTCATCCTGTAATAGAAGAAAAGGGGTGCAATAAGTCTTTCAGAATCCAGATTTGCGTAAAAAAAAAAAAAAAAACAGTTGAGGACTGAAGAAAGGGATAATTCACAATATTGCCAGGAAGTATTCTTTTTTATATATAGAAGGAGTTGTAGATGCATAGGAGAATGTTCAAGGAGGGGTGGTAGAGTCTAATACATTTAAAGAACTAAAGATATAAGACAAAACACTTGAAGTCTTTAATAGGAAAAATATAACTAAAAGTGTGTGTTTTTGCACAGGGAATGGACGAACAACTTAACCTTTAAAGTCAGTCCAAATGTAGGTTATTATGTGAATTCTACATAGGCAATAACATTCTTAATGATTTGCCTGTTCTCAGAGCTCTCATATTCTCTTTTGTTCTGTTGTCGCTTCAATGTGTTTGCTTATAGTCTCTCAAGTTAAAAAGATAATGCAGGTGTGGACTCTTTGCTCACTGTGCATAATGAGTTATCAACTACACCTCACTGACGAGGCCCAATGAAAGCTAAAACTGTCATGCAGAGGGAACCTGAACTGCCCTTTTGAGTAGGATAGGTCTGATATGCTAATGGAAGAGCTCAAAATGTCACGAGCTACTAGCCTGACCTAAAACTTACTTGCCACCTCAAAACTCTCATGATTAGCAATTTAACGATTACATTTCATGTTCACGGTTTGATCTGTCTGTGTGTCCGTGAATGCAGAGATATAAATATCAAGTGTAAGTGTGTTTATAAATGGAGGGTAATATTTGTCTATAGTGTCTGTGAATGCAGGGGTATGTTTGTGTGTCATGTCTGTGTTTGAATGCAGGATTATGTTTGTGTGGAGTGTGTTAATGCAGGAATGTATTTCTGTGGAGTGTCAGTGTGTGAATGCAGGGGTGTATTTGTGTGGAGTATGTGTGTGTGAATGCAGGAGTATGTTTGTGTGGAGTGTGTAAATGCAGGAATGTATTTCTGTGGAGTGTCAGTGTGTGAATGCAGGGGTGTATTTGTAAATGAATGCTGGGTATATTTGTGTGGAGTATGTGTGTTTGAATGCAGGGGTATGTTTGTGAGGTACGTGCATGAAAACAAAATACATTTGTCGGGATGTGTGAATGTAGAATTATATAGCACCTAATCAACTTTCCCATGTCACCTTTCCTCATCATAGCCCCTTGCTTTCATGTCCCCTTTCTATATGTCATTCCCTCTTTTCATCCATCATACATTTAATGTCATTTGTGTACCAATCCATTCTACCTATCTACATGATGCCTAATTTGTCCATCCAGTTCCCCTTTTCCAGATAATCCTTAATCTTCTCATCCATTTGCCTTTTTTTATGCCCCCTCTCCGTCTTCTGTGGGATGATTTCTTCTCTTTCTGGTCTTTTTCAATACCTGCTCTTCCATATTTCACCCTGAAAATCTGTACTTTAAAAGTCACCTCCTAGTTGCCCACAGGAGTGAAGTGACCTCATCCCTGGTGTCCTGTGGTGTGAGGGAGCCGTGAGGAGCTTTACTTGGCTTCTTCCGAGCACAGCTTCCTACCAGCTCTTTCTGTAGTGATGGCGCACAATAGTTTTAACTTCTGGTAGTTGTGTTTATAACAAGCCAAGATCAACTCCTTGCTGCTTCTCTGTTTTTAATGGTGCTGGTCCCCAAGCTTCTAGAGCCCCTGCACGAACTTACACATCAAGCATTGTGCAGCCATGGGGTTTTTTATCACACAATTGTTTGCATTGGCTCAATTTCAGCTTGCCTTCGGTGTGAGGCGAGTGGAAATTTTGAGACTTGCTAATGGTATAGTTTCTCACTGCAATGGCACAAGTAAGCAAAAACATTTTTTAAGACTTAAGCCGGGAATAACTGAAGGGCGAGCTATTGAGTTTTCTAAGCTTTTGCCCATTTTTTGTAGTTCTCCTATTCTCTGTTTTTGTTTCTTTGGCCATCGATAGGTTTAAGGAAAATCATTATTTAGTACATATGCCCCCAATGCAAACATGCATGCATTAATTAATGCCTTTTTTTCATTGGAGGTATATAAAGAAATAACTTGCAAAAGCTGCAGATCACTTTTCTGCGGCATTTACAAGCCTTCCCTTTTTTTTCCAGCTTAGACTTTTAGTCTGTGCCAGGGAATCATCCAATCAGAGGCTTCTCATTGAGAAACCGCTGTGTTGTAGCTGCAAGCATGCGCACACACACACACATACACACATCCACACACATCATCGTGTTTTTTCAATGCTTCTCAATTAGCTTTAATACAACTCACCGAGAAGGTGAGAAGGCAAGCACGCGCTAGCATAATGCTTCTGTAATTTCCATTGGCTTCAGGCAACTAACGGAAGTGGAAAAAACCCTACTAGACTTTCAGACTGACCGCCAGTGAGTTTTGTCTGCCCCTAATTATGAAAGTGCTGATTTCTATTGAAATTTACACTTTTTGTAAAATGTCACACATGTGACAGGTTCCAGACACATAAAGCTGTACATAGAATAGTTGTATGAGATTTTAGATTAACAAAGAGCTGTCACTTCCATGACATCTGGACGATTCAAGAATCAATAATTAAGTGACCTAACTTCAAACAGTGTTTTTTTGTTTTTGTTTTTTTTTATATGAACACAAGGTTATCCCTGGCAACAGTTGAATGTAATGTAACCAATATGTCCAGAGTCTTTGTGATGGAGTGTTGACCCCCTGTTGTTTTGAGATATTCTGCAACACATTAGTTTGCAATGAAGTGTGAAAAATAAGCAGACACAGAGGTCCTGATAATTTCTGATGTAAATTAAAGTTCTTTGAAGTTTAGTTTCTAGGTTAAGAGAGACAGTTTTCATTCGGTATTAATTGTGAATATGTTTTTTATTATTTTTACATTTTGATTTGACAATAACAAAGTGGAGTGTAACTTTGATAAATAACTTTGGCATATGCGAATTCTGCTTTGAAGTGCTGATCAAATGATTGCAGCTGGGATAGTTACTTATGGCTTGTAGTCAGACGAGTTATCATTTCAAGCCATAAAGTTATTATTATTACCGTTAACATAATTTTATAAACTTCCAGAACTGAGATTAAACATACTGTCAAGATTTTGGATTACATTAAGTTAACTCCTTCAGGTGCAGGTTATGCAACTGCTTAATTTTCAGGACAGCCCTGACATGCCCTTGATCCTAAAATGGTTAATGTACAAAATGAGAAAAAAACTGATGTGTGACGGGTGATGGGGGAATAAATAATAATCAGGGCTCCAGAGTTCCCAATAAACCAGGAGAGAAATCTCCTATTCCATTCCCAGAACTGCCTGGGATGGCCAGTGGCACAAAGATGCATCATTAAGAGAAATAATTCTGTGTCACATCCCCCTTTAAGGGACACTCCAGGAACCAATACAACTTTTATGCATTTTAATAGATTTTGGCCTCATTCATTTGGTGTATTTTTTTGCATGCTCAAATCGTTATAGTTTTTGCATAAAGTAAATAAATTTTTTGCAGAATTCCACAACATAAGCCTGCCTCCTTAGCCACACCCCCTCATGCCAGAAAGGCGTCCCTATCAAATGTATGTACACAGCCTCAACAGCATTGAGTGAGCGGATTTTAATTCACAACCTGGCTGCAGAAAGTGAGAGAACCTGCAAACGTAGTGATATCCTTACTATATGTCTCCCTGGGTGTCTTCTACTTCCAGTGCAGGTTGCTTTGTAATTCAGATCATTCAGTAATGTCAATACCCAGAGTGTCCCTTTAATAAATGTGAGCGTTTGGTTCTATGCTGCAACCTTGTCCTACAATTAAAACTAATTTGAATACAACTTGGTTCAACGACTCCCACATATCATCATCTTATTGCCATTGAAATAGGTACCATTAAAAATAAAAACCTTTAAAGCCTACAACCCAAACTAAATCCCTTGCATTGCAGCAATTTAGGCGGACATGTTTAATCAATATTATTATTATTTATTCATTCATTCGTGGTTCAGTAATCAATTCATAAGTTATTTGGGACTTTTTTGTAGTAATCCCAGACCATTGGATTAATCCAAATGAGATCCAAGTAACGCCATTCAAATTAACTCAGTCCAGGTTTAGTGAGTGATATTTAAAACCAAATCTACATGTTGTCCCGTTTTTTTTATTTTTTTATTAGTAAACTCAATAAATTACACTAAGTTTGATACTAAATGGTTAATTCACAAACAGTGTAATACATTCCATACCTGGAATGTAGATAAAGTTCAGAGAAGCTCCTAGTGAAGTGAGCTACTAATTGATTGTTGCTGCTCATCTAAAAAAATTCTTTTTTTATTTTGCACACTAAAAAAAGTGACATATGTAGACAGGTAAAAAATGATATGTGCTTGGTATACTTTTAATAATCATCAATAACTTAAAGGGGCGCTACGGACACCAACACAACTTATGCTTATTTGATA